TAATCATTTCAACAAAAGTGTTACAATGCTGGCGGTGAACGGCTGAGTTGTCGTTTGTCTTGAGGACAGTCAGAGAATGAAAGAGAAGGCAAGTGGCCACTGTCTTCTTCTGTCCAGCAGACTGGGGTTCTGCGGGCTGCTGACTTCTGGCTTCCTGTGCCTGCTGCTGGGCCGCGTCTCAGTCCTCCTGACACAGCAGATGGCGGCTACCCAATCCAGTGTCCCCGGAAATGGGGAGAGAGTCTTCCTCTGAAAGTAAACCTCGTAAAAATAAGAAAAGTCGCAGGATGTTGGTCAGCTGTCAAAGGGACCCGTAGGCCCCAGGAAGCAGTCTGTAAGTGTGCTGGTGAAGGACACCCGATGCGGAGGCTGTGGGATGGTTTGACCTCAGATTTGGACAGAATCGAATTTGCGACTGATTTAACAAACGTATACAGGATGTAACACCTGCCAGGCACAGTTCTAGGCAGTTTACCTGTATAAATCAGTTCTGGTTGTACAGCCGTACTTTGGTGGGCACTGCCTGTATTTCCGTGGTGAGAAACTGAGGCACAGGGAGTTCAGTGACTTGCCCAAGGTCACACCGTGGGGGTTTGAATGCAGGGGGTCCTTCTCCAGGTCAAGCTCTTTATGGGTTGTTAGACCACAGACTACCTGGTAGCAGGGGACAGTGTCCTGGCTCTGGGCTTCCCCAGCCTGCTTCTGTGGGCCACTTCCTGTGCCTCAGTTTCTCCTGGTTAATGGGTGGATAACAGGTTATATGATTTAAACAGCAACTTTACTTCTTCTCTTCTCAGGTTAGCATATGGGATTCTTCAGCTCCTACCTCCTTTAGTTATTATGATTTCTCTTTTGGTTTTGTTCTTCTGTAGTTTTCTGAAGGCAAATCAGACGTTTTTATCTGGAAAGGAAAACTACTTTAGGCATAGGCATAACCAGTAGTTGCCTTTTTGTCCTCAATGAACTATGTAACAGACTTGAAAAAACAACTCCGGGATAACTGGAATGCCGACTCATTTGCCCCTGTGAAATCTCGCGGGAGGGAGCTGATAACATTTTTAGCTGTTGGAAAACCTCAAGATGCCTGGTTTGCTACATATGTGATTAGCGTCTGAGAGAAAAGTCCTGGCTCAGTGGTAACGACCGGAAGCGTTTCTTTTTTTTAACTAACACTTGTTATCACCAGTTGTGGAGATGTCTTCCTCATCTTCTCCCAGGGGGACCACGAAGAGATGGGAGAAGACTGTTTAATTTCTGTCTGTTGGCATACAGTGTAATTTGCCGTGAAACTTATAATTAGATTATCAGGCTTAGGGCTGAGCTGCTGTGACTGTGCTAAAGGAGAATTTTGTTTTGCAGGTGATGAATTCCAGAGTATGAGCTGCTTGTCAGCAGGCTGGCCCTTCCTAGCACCCGGGGGGGCAGGGAGCCTGGTCGTAAGGGTGCACTTCACTTCCACCTTCAGGACCCGCGCAGGGCAGGACCCATCTCTCCAGTTCCTGCCTGATTCCGTCTCATCCTCACCGTCAGGTGGCGTGAGGAAGCACATGGGGCTTTTTTTTTTTTTAGAGGCAGGGAGCCCTGGCTTTGAATCTGGCTCCAGGTGAGGGAGAGGGCAGCTGTCAGGTGCAGGTTCACGCTGAGTCCTTCCCCCAGCACGTGGGGTTGTTCTCAGTAGGTGACTCTCGCCAGGGCTGGGCAGGGGGGCCACTGTTGCCCACTAATGACGCAGTGCTGCCTGGCCTGCATCAGAATGTGACCATTTCAGAATGATTGGAGTGGAACTTGTGTTTCTTGGCCATTTGGCCAAAAATAATAGTTTATAAAGCAAAGGACACCATGTTTTATGCAAATACAGGGTCTGGCAGAAGTAATGTCATTGAATGTGGTTGGTAGGGTACCTGACTGTCTTGCACAAAATGGACAGCGTTTGAACGTTTCACTTAAAAGGTCATATGCTGTGACTGAGTGAGATACTGTTATGTTACAGAATCACATACCTATGACTTTGTAATAAAGGATTTTTAGGTAATAAAAAGGGGCGTTACTTGTGCTGGACCCTGTGTGTGTGTGTGTGTAGACATCATGCCTCCAATCCTTGCTCCAAAGATCCAGAGACCGAGGGGCCTTCGTTTCTCTTGTGTGAAGGATCCTTTTGTACCCAGGTTCTGTGAGTTCATAATCTTTCTCTGAATGCTACATTTGAGTGCGTGCACTAAAATACAACGTTTCGTCGGGAAACCAGGCTTCCTTGCAAAGGGCGGGTCCAACAGCTGTTGTGGTTTTTAAGTGGGGATGAACCTAAACACTTGACAATGCGGTGGACAACTGTCACGTGGAAACAAAAGCCTGGTTGTTTCCATAGGTGACAAAGCCACAGGTATCGCTCCTTAACATCATTCCTGGTTTGTTGTCAATATGTGTAAGAGAAGGAAATGCTCAATTTCAGTTAGAGGATGTTGAGAATAAAGACTACATTGTTTCCCCTTTCAAGGCCATGGACCTCTGGGTGCGGTTCCCTCTGTAGTCAGCAGCTGGGCTCTGTAGCCCAAACTGAAAAACTGCAGACAGACTCACAGAATTTCATCAGAAACAGATTCCTATGCCAGTTAGGGGGATAGCTGTCAAAAATATTCTAGAAATATAGTTAACTCTCCAAGGGACCCTGTGAGTGCCAGCCAGCCAGCCAGGAGGACTGTGAATGGAGACGGCCCTCCTGAGCTCCCCTGTGAGCAGGGTGTGCCCGGAGAGCTTGGGTCCTGGGTGGTTCCCTCCTGCCATCAAAGGCTGTGGAATCCGATGGCAGGAGGAGGGCTGGTTAACCTGCGGGCTGGGATGGCTTTGGGAGGAGGCCCCGTTTGCATTTCTGAATTGTCCTCGTGGAGCCAGTGAACTAAATCCCCGCACAGTGAACAGAAGGGGAAATGAAGGGACCGGGTGTGAAAACTTAAGGATACAAACAGTGGTCCGACTTGGCCTCTGGAGACCAGCCCCAACGAATGAGGGCCCACTGGGCTTGCCGCTTCCCTGGGATTATTTTATCTTTTACTGTATTAACACATTTCATCTTTGCAGCCCCGTGGGGTAATATTGTTATCTGTTCTCCTTTGCAGGAGAGGAGACCCAGTCATGAGTGGTTAAGTACCTTGTGCAGGTTCACAGGCCCAGCTGTCCGGCTCCCAGACGCAGGTGTGCCCTCAACCTCGGTTCTGTACCTGCACCTGGGAACAACCAGCCTCATGTGGCTTCTCCTTTAAATCCGTAGCTGTAGGGCTTCCGGTGAGCTAGACTTCAGATGGCTCTGAGAGATGGGTGCCCTGTAGTTTAGCTGTAGCTTTTCTAATGATTGAACATGGGGGAATGAAAGTGTTTCGGTAGGATGACATTTCAGTTCTTGGTGGGTTTCACACATCAGGGTGACTCCTCCCTCCCCCTCAGCCTCCCGCTCCCCCTCAGTCTGCAGTTCAGAGTGAAGCTGGGGAGTTGGGATGTTGTGTTGCTGGGTGTGGGGTCTAAATGAAGCTTCTGACTTGAATGCAGCTTCTACCAGTTTGTAAATTGCACCAAACTGTTAACAAAACAATTTTATGCAAGAGAAAAAATTGCGTGTTTTTAAAAAATATATTTTATTGATTATGCCATGACAGTTGTTCTATTCCCCCCCTTCATTCTCCTCCACCCTGCACACCCCCTCCCTCACCATTCCCCCCCCTTTAGTTTATGACCACATGTCTCAAGTTCTTTAGATTCTATATTTCCCCTACTATTCTTGCCCTCCCCCCTGTCTATTTTCTGTCTACCGTCTATGCTACATATTTTTTGTACCTTCTCCCCCCTTTTCATTCTCCCACTCCCCTGTTGCTAACCCTCCATGTGATCTTCATTTCTATGTTTCCACTCCTGATCTAGCTGTTCTCTTAGTTTGCTTTTGTTTTAGGTGTGGTTGTTAATAACTGAGTTTGCTGTCCTTTCACTGTTCATCTTTTTTATCTTCTTTTTCTTAGGTAAGTCCCTTTAATATTTCATATAATAAGGGCTTGGTGATGATGAACTCCTTGAATTTGACCTTATCTGAGAAGCACTTTATCTTTCCTTCCATTCTAAATGAAAGCTTTGCTGGACAGAGCAATCTTGGATGTAGGACTTTGGATTTCATACTTGGAATACTTCTTTCCAGCGTGTGTGTTTTTTTTTAAATGAAGGGGATAATTTATGGCTTCACTTACTCAACACATTACGCAGGGCACTAAATACACAGGGGCAAGTAAAAGCACGTGGTCCAGCCCTCCCCGCTGGTAGGCAGACATGTATTAACTGCATACCTGAGGCCTGGACTTGTGATTGTGCCAGTGTATGAGCCAGACTCAGAGGGAGTGTGAGGGGCCGGAGTTGGGGGCGGTGATGGGACTGACAAAAGACTTAACGAACAATCTGGAAGGGGGTCAGGGACCTTTTGGGAAGTGACAAGTGGCTAAGTGGCACCCCAGGCAGCTGGACAGGGGCCGGGCAGCCGTGGAGCTGCAGCGCTGGGCATCGGGCACTGGGGAGTGGTGTGCGACTGTGGGAAGGCAGACGTATGTGGTGCTGTGTCAGAACGACTGCGGCGCTGAGATGCGGCACAGACTGTGCCATCGAGTGTCGAAGCCCGTGGTACGAGTGTTCATTCAAATATTTTCTTTTAACTGCAAAACTGGGAACAAGCCATACAATTTTTAATTAGAAGAACAGGGCATGGGGATTCTTCTTGGGCTTGTACGTGCACTACGGCGTGTGGAAAGGCTGTGCGGGAATGGCCAGCAGTCCCCAGAGCGGCAGGGCACTGTGCTTAGGTCCTGCGGGACCTGGGCTGGTCGGTTCTTCCTGCCCACCTGTGTCCCAGTCCAGTCCAGTCCAGCTCCAGCCACGTCTACATGTGGGGTGACAGTCCCTTAGTTACCCCCTTCCTGGATGCTCCTGAGAAAAGAGATAACCCACATCTTTCTTCCCCTTTCCCCCACCAGGGCGGGAGCAGTTCCACGGCCTTGGCTCCATGTACTGCCGGGGGGCAGCCGCTGTCATCCTCACCTATGACGTGAACCACCCGCAGAGCCTGGTGGAGCTGGAGGACAGATTCCTGGGCCTGACAGACACAGCCAACACTGACTGCCTCTTTGCCATCGTGGGGAACAAGGTGGACCTCAGTGAGGAGGGGCCCTCGGAGAGCTGGGAGCAGGAAGGGCACAGCTCCGGGTCAGTGGGTGATGGCTGTGTGTCGCCCAAGGTGCCCAAGCAGGTGAAGCCAGAGGAAGCGATGGCCCTTTATAAAAAGATCCTGAAGTACAAGATGCTGGATGAGAAGGACATGCCGGCTGCTGAGCAGATGTGCTTCGAGACCAGCGCCAAAACCGGGCACAATGTGGACCTGTTGTTTGAAAGCTTGTTTGACATGGTGGTGCCCATGATCTTGCGGCAGAGAGCCCAGGGGCTGCCGCAGACTGTGGACATCTCCTGTTATAAGCCACCCAGACAAACCAAATCTGGGTGCTGTGCCTGACTCTCAGAGACCCCAGGCCCCCGACCCCCATTTACACAGTAGGTAAGGAGTGTGACCAAGCGAGCTGTGGTCAGGGGCACAGAAAGTCGAGAAGTTCCTCTGTAGAACTGCATGCGGAGGAGAAGACCCGAGAGGAAGTGACAGCTAACTGTGAGAGAAGGCCCATGGGAATCATCGCCTCTGTCTGCGTCGCTGTGTTGGGAGGTGGGGAGCTGCAGGGTCCTGTCCTGACAACCTGGCCTATGACAAGGTTGCCTGGATGGGTGTGTGCCCATCTGAGCACCTGTACGGCTTTCATGTTTGTCCTTCTCAGGACATTTCTCTTCACTGTGATTTATCTTTGCTCCGATCATTTGGAACTTGTATCTTGATGCATCATAATGGTTCTCGACATGTTAATTTATACAAAACCAGGAGTCACCTTTTTATATTGGTTGTAGTAGTATGAACTACACATATTATTAAAAGGAATCTTGAGTAGAACTTTGGTGTGGACACTGCATTGATTCAGATTTTATTTTGTGCCCCCAGTGGACTGCTTGCTGGGGGCTTTGGGGAGAGGGCTGTGAGCTTAAGGTGCTTCAATCTTTAGAAATTGCTCTGAATCCTTACAAATTCCAGAATATTTGGATCAGCCCATCTGCGTAGTTGTCTTGATGACATGAATTCCAATAATAGAAGCAAAAGTAAAAGCTCTGTTTTCTGCTAAGTTCCGCTTGGGTCACCTGGGCTGTTACTGAGCAGAACCCCCTTTTCTGCTGGTTGGTGGGTGCATCTCTCTGTTAGAAGAAGCTAAGGCAGGAAAGCTGTGAGACCATGGGTTTCGTTTTCTCAGAAATTTAACTGGGAGCATGTAGGTCAGACTTGGGGCTCTCTGATTGGGAAAGGGCCATCTCAGCCAGCTCGGACTGTTGTAACAAAACACTGACTGGGCAGCGTAAGCAGCAGACATTTACGTCCCACAGTTCTGGAGGCCAGAAGTCCAACATCAGGGTGCCAGCCGATTCAGTTTCTGGTGAGGCCTCTCTTCTTGACTTGCACATGACCTCCTTGTCCACGTGCCCTCACATGGTGGGGGGGGGAGAGAGAGCTCTGATCTCCTTCTCTTCTGATCATAGGGCCCTCCCCTCATCCTGTCCCAAAGGCTCCACCTCCAAACACCATCACAGTGGAGGGTAGGGCTTCAGCACATGGATTTTAGGGGGACACAGCATTCAGCCTGTAATAGAAAGCAAAATGTGCAGAAGGCTAGTGAGAAACAAGGTTTTGTGAGTAAGGCTTTTCTGGTTTTTTTTTTTTAATTTATTTTTTATTGATTATGCCATTACAGTTGTTCTATTCCCCCCTTCATTCCCCTCCACCCTACCCCGCCATCCCCACCATTACCCCCCCCTTTAGTTTATGACCATGTGTCTCAAGTTCTTTAGATTCTATATTTCCCATACTATTCTTACCCCCCCATCTATTTTCTATCTACCATCTATGCTACTTATTTTCTGTACCTTCTCCCCCCTTCTCCTCCTCCCACTCCCCTATTGCTAACCCTCCTTGAGATCTTCATTTCTATGTTTCCACTCCTGATCTAGCTGTCCTTTTAGTTTGCTTTTGTTTTAGGTGTGGTTGTTAATAACTGTGAGTTTGCTGTCCTTCCACTGTTCATGTTTTTTTAACTTCTTTTTCTTAGATAAGTCCCTTTAACATTTCATATAATAAGGGCTTGGTGATAATGAACTCCTTGAATTTGATCTGATCTGAGAAGCACTTTATCTGTCCTTCCATTCTAAATGAAAGTTTTGCTGGATAGAGCAATCTTGGTTGTAGGTCTTTGGTTTTCATGACTTGGAATACCTCTTTCCAGCCCCTTCTTGCCTGTAAGGTCTCTTTTGAGAAATCAGCTGACAGTCTGTTGGGAACTCCTTTGTAGGTGACTGTCCCCTTATCTCTTGCTGCTTCTAGGATTCTCTCCTTCATTTTCATCTTGGCTAATGTAATGATGATGTGCCTTGGTGTGTTTCTTCTTGGGTCCAACTTCTTTGGGACTCTGTGAGCTTCCTGGATTTCCTGGAAGTCTATTTCCTTTGCCAGATTGGGGAAATTCTCCTTTATTATTTGTTCAAATAAGTTTTCACTGGTGGCTGTTCCTCTTCCTCTTCTGGTACCCCTATAATTCGGATGTTGGAGCGTTTAAAGATGTCCTGGAGGTTCCTAAGACTCTCCTCATTTCTTCGAATTCTTGCTTCTTGACTCTTTTCTGTTTGGCCATTATTTGCTTTCTTCTGGTCCACTCCATTGATTTGAGTCCCAGTTTCCTTTCCATCACTATTGGTTTCCTGTGCAATTCCCTTCATTTCAATTAGTTTCGCCTTCATATGTTCCTCTAATTTGTGGCTATAATCAACCAGTTCTGTGCGGATCTTGATCACACAGTTTTAAACTGTGTGTCTGAGAGTTTTGCTATTTCTTCATCACTTAGATTTATAGGCTCTGGGGCTTTGAGATCTTCTTGAGCCATTTTTGGTCTGTTCTCGCCCTTTAAGTATAAGTAGCAGAGCCTTGGACTCTCGGGTCGCTGGGTTGTGATGCTGTATGTGGTCAGAGCAAGGAAATGCTCTGGTCAGGGGCGTGGTCAGAGCAGGGAAATGGCAGCCCCCTCTACTGTTTCTCGCTGCTGGGTGAGGAGCAGAGCCTTAGGTGGTTCACCAGGGCGGGACCACTCAGGTCGCTGGGTTATGACGCTGTATGTGGAGGCAGGGTCAGAGCAGGGAAATGGCGGAGCCATCTGCTGCCACTTGCAGTGGGGCCCGCTCAGTCCCGTAGTCTCACCGCCCACTCCCTTGCTTTTCTATCTGTGCACGAAAGTGCGACCACAGTCAACCCGCAGCCCTGCTCCCTCGCTGTTTCCCCAAGGTCACTCGCTGAGTCGCTTACTAGGTCCAACCCTGCGCCTGGGTTCCGCGTGCCCGAGTTCGTCTGACCGAGTTTTTCTGTGCAACCAACTCCGACAGCTGCTGGTTTCGCCCCTTACCAGTCAGGCTGAAGAATTTGTTGTTATCAGACTTCCGAAAAGTTCAATTTTCTGTGTTCTGGCTGTGTTTCTGTTGCTAATATTTAGTTGTCTCTAAACTTGGTTGTGAGAGAAAGCACGGCTTCTCCACCTATGCCTCCATCTTGGCGGAAGTCCTTGAGTAAGGCTTTTTTGCAGGGGGTGTTCAGTAATGTTTCCGAGGGCCCCTGAGCTGTGTCCCAGACCTCACCAGGGCTGCCTCCTGCTCTGCTCGGTGCAGAGCTCCATGTGTTGCTGGGGTTCCTCCATCGAGGTGCCCTGTGGCTGCAGGCGATCTCAAGTTCTCCAATCTTTTAAAAAGATTTTATTTCCTTTTAGAGAGAGGAGAAAGGAGGGAGAGAAACATCGATGTGTGAGAGCTACATGGATGGGTTGTCTCTTGCTTGCCCCCAACCGGGGACCTGGCCCACAGTCCAGGCATGTCCCCTGACTGGGAATTGAACTCACCTTTCAGTTCGCTGGCCAGCGCTCAATCCACTGAACCACACCAGCCAGATCTCCAATTTCAATCTCACAACGAGCACATTGAAAAGTGAACAGGGATTAGTTTTACTACTTTTCACTGATTTGGTTTAATTTGCCATTATATGGGCAGAAGTTGTATTAATTCTTTGTCAACTACTTTTTTTAGTGACACGGGCGGAAATGTGCTCCCCAGGGAGACCCAGGAGCTTGTCTTTGAACACAGTGAGGGAAGGAGCGTCCCAGGAAATGACTTCATGCCTGAAGGCCCCTGGCTCCTGGATATTCTTCCGTTCTCTTGCCCACCTGCTCTGAGCACCTGCAGCGGGTGGCCCCCAGAGGGGGACTGCCCAGGAATGGAACGTTCTCCCTCGAAGACACTTAAGCATTTCACTCTTTATTGTTGCTCTAAAAATAGGCTTCATTCCTGGCTCTGTCCCAAGTGGACTTTCAAGAGCCATCCTGGGCTCTCCCTTGTTATGGGGCCTGGTCCTCATGGGTTTCTGGCCATGACCTTATGTGGGTCTCATTCCCAACCGGGAAACCAGGTCAGTTCTGGGGGAGCTTCGAGTTGTTCAGCTGTGTGACCCAGCCGGTGGAGGTGGAGGGGATTTTCCTCCTGGATGTGGATTTGAGCTGGTGCCCTCGAACATTCCTTCCGCTGATGCCTTTGTATAATCACAGCTGCCCCGGCAGGCCACGGACAGCCCTGGGTTAACTTGCTGTGCCTGGACTTGGAGCCGTTGCTACAGATTTTCACCTGGGGCCCCAAACGTCCTCATACAGATAAAAACTTTCTCAACATCTCCTAGCTGGATGTTTCCTGTGCCCCTGAGGCGTGGTGTTTGGCAGACGCATCTGGGAAGTTTTGGGGTGGGTGTGTTGTAATCTGGGTGCTGCAAGCCATGGCTTCCCCTTTTCCCAGGCCGCCAGGCTGGTTTCTTAGACGTATTGTACAACTTTGTCCTTTCCGAACCTGCCAGCCTGGGTAGAGCAGGGCTGCCTGCTGAGCCGGGAAGGCCCTCTCTCACACAAGCGTCTGGCAGCCCCGGCACCTCCAGCATGTATTGTGTTTTGCCGTGTGTAACACGCACTTTTTTACTCAAATTTTTGAGGGAAAAATAAGGATGCATATATACATGGGCAGTACTAATTCCGTATCTATATAGATGTCTTTAATTCTTTTATTTAAGCTTATGTGTAACCTAGAAAGTAACCTAGAAAGCAATAATAATGTCCATATGCAAAATAACACCTTGGAATATGATAATCAGTTTTATTTCAAAATATAAAAAAATAAAAAATTGAATAAAAAAATTAAAACAAAAGGTTTTTTTCCCTGAAAGTTTGGACCAAGAACGTGGGTGTGCATTAAACACAGGAGTGTATTTTACATGGCAAGATACAATAGTTTCCCCACGAAAGGGGTGAGCCCCGTGCTCAAAGCCAGTGACATGGATCAGAGACACAGTGCTTTTGCACCAGAGAGAAGGGGACATGGAAGTCACTTCTGTCTCTGCTTCCATGCTTTGGGGTGACCCTGACTGTATAGAGTGCCTACTGTGGATGGCAACTAGCGGTTGACCCTTGAACAGCGAGGGGATTAGGGTCTCTGGGCCCCACACAGTCAAAAGTCTGCATGTAACTTTTGACTCTCCCCAATTTAACTACTAATGGCCTTCTGCTGACCAGAAGTCTTACCAATAACAGTTAACACATATTTTGTATGTTACATATATTATATACTCTATTCTTTCAATAGACTAAGTTAGAAAAAAGAAAGTGTTATTCAGGAAGAGAAAATATGTTTCCAGTACTGTGGACATTTATTGGAAAGAACCCACGTGTAAGTGGACATGTGCAGTTCAAACCTGTGTTGTTCACGGGTCCACTCTAAGGACTTTGAGGAAGGCAAGGTCCTGGAACCCAAGACTTTGTGTCTGGGAGCCAATGTGTGGTCTGTCCAGGTGTTTGGTGTGTTTTGCAGGCAAAATCTGCTCCATCTGTGGCTGGGGGAGTCCCAGATTGTACTTTATGTCATTTGGTCCAATGGGCCTCATGCCTCCATGGCTTGCTCCTACCTGTCCTCATTACATTATTTCACACGTTCCTGAGCACTTTCCCCGTAGCCAGAAGAGCTCTCTGATCCTTCCCATTTCTCAGAGCTGGGCCCTTTGGACCTGCACGGTGAGAACTGGGTGCTGCTGCTGCACCTGCAGTGTAGACCCTGAACATGCACGTGCAGCTGGCCTGGCCTTTCTGTGTGCCAGTTCTGAAAGCTGCTGGGCTGAGCATGACCCTTTGCAGGACCCTTGCAGCAAGCAACTGCTCAGCCTACGAGTGTTTGTGTTGCTCCCTGTCTTCCCCTTCCTTGGATTGGCCTTGAACTCACTGGCCCATCTGCCAGAAGAAGGGTCTGGAAGGCAGCTGGTTTGAGGGTGTGAGGACCAAAGCCCAGAGCAATGAAAGGTGTGTCTAAGGCTAGAGTCCACCAGTGGCTGGAAAGGGACACACATCCAGGTTTCACCCAAGTCCAGGTCGAACCTGACTCTGCACTTCACCTATGTCATTCCATTTGCTGCTATGTTTGTTCTGTTTTGCCAAGGTTATTTTGGTCGTTCAGGCCTCTGCCCAGCAGACACCGCTCGCTGCCCAAGATGAGTCGGGGCATGGTGGCCTGGGGAGGGCTACTTGCAGGATGCACAATGCGTGTGTCTCCAGGGACACCTCCCACTGTTCTCGGCCTCATTTACCCCTTCTCGCCCTTGTGTGGCAGAGAAGCTGGACCCTGATCCCATGTGATGAAATGCCTCTTTGGAAATGGCTGCAGTTTTACGGCCAGTGCATGGCATTGCACGGCCCACAGCTTCCAAGCCTGCCTCCACCCCCCTTCCTTGCCCTTTGTTCTTGACCTTGGCCATGGAAGGGAGATAGCTCTGAGTTCTGCAAGTTCTCCAAGAGTCCATCTGCACGTGGGAAGGATAGCAGGAGCTACCAAGGTGTATGTCTCGCTGATGCTCTGTCCTCTGGCTCGGCACCTGACTCAGAAGTGTGAACCACACAGAACCAAGTGGAGCAGGAATCTTCAGAACAGTGACAGACTATGTCTGCTCCCTGGATTGTGGTGATTGGAGTCTAGAATAAATAGCTACCTCTGTAGGCTTTGTGGAGAGGCGCTGTGCCGAACTTGTTGTTACAGCTGTTGCTATAGAAACCAGCTGTGTACAGGTGTAGCTACCTTGCATCAGCCTCATCTCATTCTCTGTTTCTCCTTGGGAGGAGCCCACTCAGCCATTAAGCGCTGACAGTCTTAGGCAACCCCTGGCCACGGGGGGCCAGCACTGGACATTGAAAATGTCCCTTTCCCATGCCTGGGTGGCACAATCCGAGGCTCCCTCCGTGGCTATCCTTAGTGGGTCCCTAGCAGGATAAAGCCTGAAATTGTCAAGGTCAGTAGCCTCCTCAGCAAGGTGCCCTCCTTCCTGGGTTCACTCTGTCCAGGTCCCACTCCATTCACTGGAATTGTGTCCCCAAATAACCCTCTTGTGCAGAGTCTTTGTCTCAGTCAGCTTCTGGGGGAATGCAGGTCAAGACAGCTGCTGATCTATTTCAAATAACATTATCAAGTGGAATACTTATTTTGTTAGGTGGAAATTATTCTTAGAAAAAGTTTAATATGAGATTGGATTATAAAGGGTAAAAAGAAATTTTGTGAGTTGGGTTCCCAAGTATCAGCCAGATTCTAGAAAAAAAAAAACAACAAACAAAGCCAGAAATGTGTCTTGGAGACCATTTCTTGGAAATACTGAGATTTGACTTGGGACGTTACGTTGGAATGAACTGCATGACTTTGGAAGTTCCTTTGTGAGGGACTGATCCCCCGAATTCCCATGAGTGATGGTTAGGGTGCTTTCTGTAAACATGAATGCATTAGAAACACAAAGACAATCCCGAGAGTGGAATGACAATACCATCGACTTGGGTTTGAGTCAACCGAAACTCAAGAAACTAGCTCCAGGACCAGAATTTGCCTTGGGGGTCACCGCAAATTCTGTGCTCTACAGACTTGAGAAAATTCAGGCAGTCAACAACTAGGGGTATAAAGATGTCCAAAATCAATGTTTATTCCATAGTCATTATACAGAACATTAATACAATTTACAACAAAAAAAGGAGGGTAAATCTCAGGACAGCCTGGGGCCAGTGAAAACAGTACTTCTGACTGTACATGTTTGCTGTCAAGTAGCCTGGCCGACAACAGACAGTTGGTCTTTGTTGCTATTGAAGTTTTGTCAAACCCAATGGTCTGTACGGGTGTGGTGGAAAGAATGACAGCTGGTATGTGACTGCCAGCGTCTTTCTGGCCTCGAGGGGTGGGGATAATTCACATCATGAGAATTTGGGAGAAGAGCATGCTGTCATCATGTTGGCTTGGGGGACAGGATGGGGGCCAATCCCTAGGAGACCTTATGGGGGAACAGTGGGCATGAGTTCGGGAGCCCTCGGGCTGTACGGCTTCATTTGTCTACACCATCCCATTAAGTGAGTTAAGTAAGCAGGTTGTCTGTGGGGTTTGAAAGTGCAGTGACTATATGAAGTGCAGGTACATGTGAAGACGTTAGTTGTACCTGGCGTGTAAAAGTCTAGTATGGCCTGATGGGGAGTGCTGGGGCTGTTAACTATTTTCCCTTTTGGAGGGTCAGGAGTTCATAGGGAGGGCTTCATTCTGCAGAGTAAGCACAGTGGCTAGCACCTGTGGATGGATGACAAGTGGCTATTTGGTATAGGAGCTGGTGCTGAATCCTTTGGTGGACTTTTTTGTTTGTTTGTTTTTAAAGAAAAACATGAAGTCATTGTTTGGGTCAGCACCTGAGGTAATAAGTTAAGCACCGACGTGGCCCCCCAGGCTGGAGGCAAACCTGCAGAGAAGTGCATCGGGTGGGGCAGCCCCAGGACCGCGCATCACAGGTTCTTCATGCACACCTGGCAGCGGCTGATGTGCGTCCGGATGAGCCCCGCTTTGAGCGTGTCGGGGGAGGGAGAGCTCTGGAAGTTCTGCTCAGGGATGGTGGTGAGCCAAAAGCTGTACTTGTTGGCAAAGTAGTGGCAGGTCCCCCGCCCCCCGTTGCACTCGATGAATGGCGTGGCACGGAAGTCCTCCAGACAGCTGCCTGGTGACATCAGCGACTGGCCACCACCTTCATCACCTGCGGCAGTGTGCTGTGGAGGAGAGAGGGGCACGGCTGTGAGCTCGCTGGCTGGGGACGGCCGGGGCAGACTGTAACTGATGCGCTTTTCCCCTAACTGAAAACAGCTGCGGACATGTATGTCAACACAGACCACCACCTGCAGCATACTCTTCACTTCTAGGGGCTTGGCTAAGTAAATCAGGGCAGACAGGCAGAAGGTGGAGTGGGTGCCAGGCTGCTGGAGGGAAGGGTTCATGGATATAAATGGATAGTCCTGATTTGTTATTAAGGGACAATGAGAACGAAAGCAAAAGCAGGTTATAATCATTAATACACTGGACTACATTTGGGGCAAAAATATTACCTACCAATCATCCACTTAAAGAACACAGCATTTGCCTGGCAGGAGGAATACTAAAATGTTAACTTTTGTTTTAAAGGAAAGATAAAATTCAGGTGTGGGTCAGCATCTGAGGGTGAGTTAAAACAAGGAATCCCTCCCAAAGTGACCCCTGCCCTCTACTCATCTGCTAGACTATGAAGAGGAAGGAAGGACGTATGAGTGATTTTCGTTACTTTTCTTTTTAGAGAATCTCTACTTGCTGACTTTTCCACAGTGAACATGTACCACTTGTGTAATTTATGTTTTTTCAGAGGTTGTTAATTAAACCATGAGTCCCTTGAGATGATCCAGCAGCTACCAGCTGGGAGACTCAGACAAGGGTCAGGGGGAATTTTCTGTGCCACTTTCCACTTCTACTTTTTTGTTTGTTTCACAAACGTTTTTAGCTCCATGAAGGTGCATGGTAGGCCCCTGGATCTCAAAGTTAATCTATTAAAAAATGTTTGGCTTGGTCGAGCAAGCTTTGAGTGGTGAGTGGGTTGTCAGAACCTGTTAATTTATAACAGGAATACCTCACCTGCAGTTTGCAGAGAACAAGAGGCTGTCCCGGGATGTATTTGGGCAGGGACTGGCAAAAACAAAAAACTTTTGGAAAGTTTTCTTCTCACAAAATGCAGAAGCCTTTCTAACCCAGAGCTACCGTGTTCTTGTTTATTGTAAACGGGCTGGGAGAAGCAGACATACCTTCACAAGGCATCTCTGGCCCCACGTTGGTCTGTGAGAGCCAAGGCCATCCTGGGAGCCTGGGAAGGACTCTCCCAAGGGGCCCCCTGGGGCTGCTGGGACAGGGTCAGAAGGAAGCACCAGGCTGGACACCCCAGAGCTGGGAGCAGCCAGGCTGAGTAAGGGTTCTGCGTTTCTGTGAGTCAATTTCTATGCTATGTTATTAATGTAATTTGTGAAATATTTAATACGTTGGGCATGCACTATTAGCTGGAGTTATGACAGTCATATCGATACAGATGAGACAGAAGACCCACTACCCCCACTGGACTTTCCTTTCTCCCTACGACAGTGGAGGAAGCAGGAAAACTGTAAGGGATGGTTCCGTGGTGCAGTCACTTCCCTAAATGTTAAATTAAACGTAAACTGGCCCAAACTGAGTGTCCTCCGCTTTATACCCAAAGGCAACTGACTCTGGTATTTCAGGATTTTCCTCACCAGTGTACATATATCTGTCTTAAACCAACCAGCTAATGGATATTTCTTGAGGGCATTCTAAGTTTTAGAAAGATTTTACATAAGCTACTTAGGATTCTAGACAAAATTCTTACCTATGTTTAGCTTTGGGATAAACCAGAAGAGTTCTACCTTTGCTGTTCTGCTTAGGAAGATGGATAACAAACCCAATACATCCTAATTAGGAAGGCTTGCAGGCAAGTGGATGGGTCCCCTCTGGGTGGGGCAGCCCCAGGCCTAGGCCCGTAGCTCAATGAACAAAGTGCGGGCAAAAGTGCAGGCTGCATTCCAGCTCCCACTCACCCCCGGGGCCAGGTGCCCTCAAGCCCGGCAAACCCCAAACACCTGCCCTGTCTGATGATTCTCACCAAGGCAGCTGTTCTTGCTGCTTCTCCAGCCAAGCTGTTGTTGGGGAGAGGAGCTAGATTTCTACCTGGTTCTCTGTTCGGAGAGAGTGCTGGCCAGCACCACTTACCATGAGGAAGGAATATCCAATCCACAGGCTCCGCCATCCAGCCGGGCAGTGGGGGATGGAGACATCTTGACTGTGGACTGCTATGGCGACGGCCGGGGCCTCGCACACGGAGCAGCGGCTGATGTAGGGCTTGATTTCGTCCTCAGCAACAGGCATCATGGGCAGCGGGGCAGTGGTGGAGAGCCAGTAGGACTTGTCATTCCGGCTGGCATAGTAGCAGATGTCCCCAGGGTTGCAGTACAGAAAGGGCATGGTGCTGAACCGAGCCAGGCAGGAGCCCGCCAGCCCTGTGGAACGAGGTGGTGGCTGAGTGTGGCTGGGAAGCTGCTCCCCTAGGCCCAGCCAGCCTCGGGAGGCCCAGGTCAGGGACCTGCCCCAGAGGCCATTTGGAGGGGCTCAGCTGAGCACTGGGGCCCAAGCCAATTATCATTTTTGGGGGTATAGACTACACTGGCATTTCAGCTCTGTCCTTCTAGAAGGCCCATGTTGGGGGGTCTTAAAGCACCAGCCCCAAGGAAGCCCTGATGGTATCCATGATGAGGGCCTAGCTCATCACACCCCCCGGCACCCTCCCACAAGGAGCTCTGCCCACTCCCACCTGCAAATGACTCTAGTGCTTCTAGGTAAAAAAATAAACTTCTCCTCATGGCGAGAATAATGAGTTGAGCAGGGTTAGCTTTTCTCACTGACTGCTCATGAGTTTACAGCCAAAGGTGTGCTCCACCTTCAAGTGCTGTGGCTGCCTTCTTGGCTCTGGTCCCAGCTTTCTTAGGCTTCCTCCCTTCTTTGTTCCGCCCCATTTTAAAGAAAACTTATTGTGGAAGTAGAACAGATAGACAGGAATGTGAACAAATCATCAGGGTTCAGCGTGACAGGCTTCCCCAAGCACTGCAGATCAAGCACATCTAGCCACATACCCCCTTTCCCTGGGGGTTCTATGTGACTCCCCGGCCTGTTTATGGAAATTGGGACAAAAAGCAAGCAGGAGGCGAAGCAGCTGGTGGCCTTCAGGAGGAGGAGCCAGCTCATGGCCGGCTCTGGTGGGCGCCTGTGGAAGGTGCCGGCCAGTGCAGGCAGGTCTCTGTGGTCCTAAGCTGAGGGCATCAAAGGCCAATTTAATCTTTTGTGAAACCCAGGGGTGTGAACAGGCCCAGTGCTTCGGATCAGGAGAAATGTATCTGCCTTAGAGGATTCATGAACCTTGCTGTGGGCACTCAATCTTTTTTTTTTTGAAGTTATTTTATTGTTGTTCAATTACAGTTGCCTGCATCCTTCTCCCACCACTCCCTCTCACCCTAGCCAAACCCACCTCCCTCTCTTGCTTCCACGCTCCCCCAGGGTTTTGTCCATGTGGCCACTTGATCTCGACAGTCTCCAGCTGAGCTGGCCTTGGGGGCCCGGTGGGTGGTACCTACCCAGGTCCTGGTTGTGGGCTTTCTCCTGGCCTTCAAAGTACAGCAGGCTGTATCCACTCCAGAGCTTGTTCATGCCCACGGGGCACATGGGCTCCTGGTCTGTCTGACTGTGCTTCACCAGGAGGTAGCCAATGCTGACACTGCGGCCAGGCATGCCGGGCAGGCCGGGGGTCCCTGGGCGGCCTGGCTCCCCTAGGGTCCGAAAGAAAGCAGCCGCCTTTTAGCTGCCATAGAGATCTCAGCCCACAGCCCTTGGCTGGCATCACATGGTGACATTTATAGCTGTTACCTGGCTTTCTTCTAAGGCTGGGATGCCAGTGGCTCTGCCCTGGTAGACCCAGGGCCTCCTGGGGAGGGCCTGACCCACACTCTATGCTCAGTAAGCACAGAGTGATGACTAGAAGGGTACTGAGCAAGGGTATAGACTCAGTCGGCCTTGTGAGCGCTCCCCTCAGCGTGCACTGATGCTAAGCAAGAACTAAAATACCAGGAAGGTTCCCTGAATGCACTGAAGTCCAGCACACTAGGGCCACCCTTGGGGTTAGAAATATCCACCCAGGGGGCTGGGTTCTCTCTCAGAGCACAGAAGAATGACTACCTGCCTTCAACAGGACAGTCTTCCACGTGTCTGACACTGGCTGTGCTGGTTGATCATGCCTCCCATTCCCCTTCCCCTGCAAGCACATTTTCATGTCTCATCACTTTCTCACAGGACATCCTCCACCCTGTGCTGTCTCTCGGTCTCCTGGCCTGGATGGTTCCTATCTGTCCGTAAGTGTCTTCAGATGTGCAGCCCCCGTGTTACCCAATCTGGCCACGGGCGAGTTCTTCTGGAGGTAGTACATTGCTATTTCCTGAGATCTGGGAGCTGACAATGCAGCCTCACTCCACACCGAGCACACATGGATGACAAATCTCCACTTTTTCCCGCATGACTTGCTATCATTTCTGGCCTATTCCCTCCTGTACATGTCCACATAATTTTAAGAAATCAATGATACAAGACTTTACAATGACTCCTGTTAATATAACTGGTTTCTTTCAGCTCATTGTCTCAGGCCTTCAGATCTGTATGAATCTTCCCTCAATCATGTCAACTGCTTCCTTCTCTGAGGCACCTGCATGTGTCTCAGAGGAAGGAAGGAAGCCAGGTGTTCTGCTCGGGGGCTCTGCTAGGTGCAGGTGTTACTGGACCGCATCCAGGACCAACGCTGCAGTGAGGGTCCTAGGAGCTGAGCTGGGGTTTTGGAGCAGAAGGGGCGCGGCCTCTTGTCTCTGCTCATTTCAGCACGTGTCTATTTGCTGCATGCATACCACAGTCCATCTGTAACACCACGGTGGGGCCCGGAAGAACAGCCTGCTCTCTACCCCGTCATCGCCCATCACTTACCCTCCTGGCCGACTGGCCCCTGGTGCCCCACGGGTCCCAGCTCTCCTCGGAATCCGGGCGTGGCAGACACACCGCCTCTTCCCTGGGCCCCGGCCTTCCCTGGATGCCCGCGTAAACCTGTACAGACACCAGAACAGGTGTGAGGGCCGTGGAAAGGGTGGCACTGGTTCTTAACAAATGCTTTTCAGCGAGAAAACAAAAGGGAAAACAGCAAATAAGATAAGAAGCCTTTTCCTTGTGGCTGTACAGCAGGACTCCTACCTGGTTCTCCTGGGGGACCTTGGGGTCCCATCTCTCCCTGTGCGCCTGGGGGGCCTCTTTTTCCCTGTGGACCCATCGGCCCGGGCTGGACAGTGATCTTCTGGGGGATTCCTGCAATCCCTGGGGGTCCCAAAGGACCAGGGGCACCTGGAAAGGGAAAAGGAAGGCGGTTGACAAAGGGGACCAATTGCTTTCTTTCTGTGATTTCTATGTTTTTTTTCATTGACCTGTTGAAACCAACCTTGGAGCTTTCTAGAACAATCTTGCTTTCAGAGGTGAGATGGGTGACACTAAACCCATCTGAGCGGTGGCTCAGTGCCTGCCGTTCTGTGAACTTCTTTCATTCACCTGTGTGAGTGCCTGCAGACCCTATCTGCTTTCCTCTTTATAACTTCGGGTTTGGGCTACATAACCAAGACTGACTTTAGAGGTGTCCCCATGCCTGCAGGGGCAGGAATAGTTCTGAAGTCCACTCCTGGTGGCAGGCGATCTATTTTGACAGCTCGGCAGGTGTGCTGATGGCCACTTACCCGGGAGTCCTCGGTCTCCTTTGGGTCCCTTCGGGCCTCGGTCGCCCACACTTCCCGTGATTCCTGTGTTTCCCATGAATCCTTGCTCACCCCTGGGTCCTTTGAGACAAGGAGGACACTGAGGACACTTGCCTGGGTGAGGAGTCCAGTCATCTCTGCCCACTGCTGCCAGCCTCCCAGAGGACACAATCCGTTTGCATGGGCACAGTTACCTCTTTCTCCTGGAAGACCATACACGCCAGGCCGGCCCTGGGGCCCGGGGTCCCCAACCCATCCTTTGGTCCCTGGATTTCCTGGAGCTCCTGGGTTCCCCTCGTCTCCTTTGCTTCCAGGAAGAGCAGCAGGCCCAGGAGGCCCTGGGAGGCCTGGGTAACCTGTTGACAGGAGTCACAAACACGGAGGGTTTAACCAGGAGGGAGGTGCAGCCGTGGCCATGAAGGGTGGGACTCACGGCTCCCAAGAAGCTCTCAGGAGGCCGTTTGAAAGCCATCTCATTAGGGGATGGTCTCTGGCAACTTTGTAACAATGGGAGGCTTGTTCCTTTTTATTGCAGTAAAATGTAAGTACCACTAATTTATCGTTTTCACCATTTTTAGTGCCCACTTCAGTGGCTTTAAGTACACTCACCTTGTTGTGCAATCATCACCACCATCCATCTTGAACCTCCGCAGCATCCCAAACCGAAACCCTGTCCCCATTACCCACTGACCCCACAGCACCTCCCCTGGCCCTGGCAACACCCACTCTCTTTCCCGTCTCTGTGAACTGGACCCTTTCAGGGGCCTCGCATGGCTGGAAGCATGCAATGCATGCCCTGTTGTGTGTGCCCCGAGAATTTCTGGTGCACAGAAGTGTGAGCCCTGCTTACCTTTCAGGCCAAATATCCCCGCCGGCCCTTGGTCGCCAGGCAACCCAGAAATGTTGGAAGGGGGTGTGACGCCTGGAAACCCCTGAAGTCCTGGACTCCCCATTGGGCCTCGTTGCCCTTAGGAAGGAAACAAGTTGTTTTTAGTATCAGCATCTGACTTTTTAATCTGTCGTTTCCCCTACACGCTATCACCTGTCTAGGGCCACAGCCACCAAGGACAGGCAATGATGGCAGGTGCCTCGAAGGCCAGGGAGTGTCAAACACAGCTCTTGAGATGGGTACAGGGAGGCGGTGGCCTTGTGGCCCCCCCACTCCCACCAGCCTCATCTGCTGTCAGAGGGTCCGAGGGACCCACCTCTGCTGGGACCTCGTCCTCCCCTCACAGGGAGGCATGTTGCTCAGACACTGCCTCACTGAGCCCCACCAGTGTGGCTACTTGTGTGCGACACCTCGGGCCCACCCTGAGGGCATCACCCGAGAGGTTGGGTCTGTTGGCTCTGCTGGCACTTGTGATGGGGCAGGAGCTTCCAGGATTGTCAAGATGAGGCTTCTCAACTCTACTGATATTTTGAATTCTCCCTGTGGCTATTGGTCAGTGACCTGGGTCCCGGCTACGGGGAGAGTCCATTCTCACCACTCACAGAGCCTGTATTTGCCATTTGGCCTACTCACTAAGGTTGACGGGTGACTCCAGATCAATACTGGTGGCACTCCAGGACAAGCAGGAGAGACAGAACATTTGAGTCCCAGCTGGGGTCCCTGGTTCAACTCAGAGTGCAAACAAGGATGCTTTATGTGCCTACTTAATGCCAGTTTTTTGCACTTTGGGGCCTCTCGTTGCCGGTTTCTCTGTTTGAGCTGGCCCCAAGCATCACACTGAAGTGCGGTCTGCTGTTCCTAAGCTTGCAAAGGCCGTGGGGTGCCTCGTGGAGAAAATGTGTGTTTCGGTAAGCTCGATGTTCATGAAGCAACAATTTACACAGAATCAGGTGTCTTTAAACAGAAACATACATAAAACAAGAGTACGTTTAGATCAGTTGATGAATATTTGACCTGGGGCTTGCGGGAACCAAACCCTGCATTTCACTAGAATTCCTTAATCCAACATTTGCAGCATGTAACTGTTGCAAGTAACAAGAATCGACTGTACTTGAGTCAAAGGCTGGAGCCCTTTGGCGCACACAGAGGACAGACCCCGAAGGGCAACCCTCATAGAAGGAAATCTGCGGGAATCCTGTTCTTCCCTGTGCTGTAGCCGACACGACGTTTATGGGCGCCCACCTGGCACAGGGGGGTGGGGGTGCCGCCCAGGCAGGGGCAGGAGAAATGACCAGCAGGGAAGGAGACTCATCTCTCCCTTAAGAACCTTAGTATTTGTTTTCCCTTAAGGTCTGGGGACTCAGGGATTAGTACTGGAACGCTGCAAGAAATCAGTGTCACAGCATCCAAGGCCCATCTGGTCTACTGCAGAGGGAAGAGTGAGTTAGGATAACACAGTGAAAATCTGTGAGACAGTGGTCTCTGTGTCCCCCACGTGGGCTTCGTGAGTAATCACTATCTATCTACCCCATGGAGACCTTCCCACTGGGAGGCTGTGGTTCCCAGAATGGGGGGACGGGATCCTGTTCCTGCAACTTCCGAGTGGTACAAAGAAGCAGATACTGGGAGAAGCATTTCAAAAGGTGTCATCCTGGGCTCACTGGCTGCGGGCAAAAAGCAAGTGCGTTTACTAGACTGGGGGGGTTAACCAGCTGCTCTCTGTAGTTTGACAAAAAAAATGATACCAAGTGAGCTGCTTCTAACTATTGTCACAAAGTAACAAACAGATGGTGAGTGGCTGTGACTAATGTCAAAAACTCTCGTGTTAGAAGATCCTGACTGGCCAGATTCCCACAAAAACATAATGAACTTAATTAACAGCAGTGAGCAGGCCTCTGTTGCTGAGGACATGAAACAAGCAGGAGTTAGTTTGCTGCAATCAGGGTCGAAATAGCTCTGTTTCCCTGGTGGCCCCATGAATCTTCCTAAGTGCTGAGGTAAAAACCCTCATCTACTGGAAGTCTGATGCAAGGCCGTCTTGCAAAACTCAGAGGCAGATCATGATCCAAAGCCTGAACGGACATACTTGAGGCTGCAAATCTGAGCTTCCGAAAGTCACGCAAGGGATGACAACAGATTGACATGACTTCCCTAGGCTTGGAGAAGAGTACGAGTTCTGACCAGCCACCTGAAGTGTCACTAGTGAAAGTTACCTTCCCTTAACCCCAGTGGCCTGGTGGGCACAATGAAGAGTCCCTTCTGGTCTCCAGGACCACTCAGAAGCCACCAGGTCACTGGGCTATTGTGACTTGCATGCAGGACGAGGGCCTCATAAGGGGTAAGAGCTTTAACAAAGAGATGCTTTGTTTCAGGACTGTTTGGGAGCCCGAGAGATGTCCCACGTCCCCTTGATGGAGAGCGGAGAGCTACACAATATGTTCAAAGAGTTGTGAGAAACTCATGCTGCACAGGTGAACGTGTAACAGAGCCACTTCAGGTAATTTAGGGATATCTTGGAGCACACCTGGCTTTTTCAATGGAGGTCAAAGAGAGTTACCCTACTGTTCCATAGTATTAACCTTGAACAAACACCGAACACTTACACTATGCCAGGCATTTAGCTGGCATACACACAAAGGAAAGAAAGAGAGCGAGTAGTTCCTGCTCTTGTGGGGGCTGTATGTCGTCAGCGTCAGAGTCTGAACAGCACGCTGTGTGAATCGGACACGAATACGTGCAGTGTGCCATCAATCACAATGTTGTGAGCGCTGCCTGTGGGCCAGGACTGCATGCACCGAGTGGAATTTGAGGTCTCGCTCTTCCCTCTGTTCCCACCACGGGGGAGGGTCCCATCTCCATCCTCATCTGTCTGCCCTGCACTGTCAGGGCAGAGAGGTGGACTGACAAGCATGACGCCTCATCGCTCCCACCTGGGCCCCCAACAACATGCTGGGCTCTGCTTATGCAGAAGGTAATGCTGGAAGTGTCCAGCCTCACCTGGAGCTCCTCGCTCCCCTTTTTGTCCTGGGACTCCGGCAGGGCCTGGAAGGGTGTTGGGCTCTCCTGGCTCGCCCCTGTCCCCAGCAGCACCTGGGAAACCTGGGTCTCCGTGGAGGTCTTCACCTGTGGCAGGGTCAAACAGAGGCAACATCACCATCTTCAACCACCCAGTGAAAGAAGAGGAATGCTCTCCAATGGGATGGAAAGTAGAAGACCAGAAGGCAGCTGTGGTGATTTCAGCTTGCTGTGTGGCCTTGGTGTCCCACGGCCTGACACTGGTACACCATTGCTCTGAACTGAACTGTTTCCCTGAAATTCATATGCTGAAGGCTTAATTTCCCATGTGATGGTTTTGGGAGGTGGAGTGTTTGGGAGGTGACTGGGTTAGATGAGAACACGAGGATGGCTCCATGGTGGGATTAGTGTTCATACAAGAGACCCCAGCCTTGGCTGGTGTAGCTCAGTGGATTGAGCGCGGGCCTGCAAACAAGCGTGTTGCAGTTCGATTCCCAGTCAGGGCACATGCCTGGGTTGCAGGCCAGTTCCCAGCAGGGGACTCATGAGAAGCAACCACACATTGATATTTTTCTCCCTCTCTCCTTCCCTTACCCTCTAAATATAAATAAATAAAATCTTAAAAAAAAAAAAAGAGAGACCCCAGAGAGCTTGTTCTCTCTCTCCACCATGTGGGGACACAGCGAGAAGGTGGCTGACTACAAGCCAGGGAGAGGCCCTCACCGGAACCAGACCCTATCAATGCCTAGATCTCGAACCTCCAGTCTGCAGAATGGTGAGGAATAAATGTCTGCTGTGTAAGCCCCCAGCCTGTGTCACAGCAGTCCATACCGACTAAGACAGGATTATCTGTTTCGGAGGATAAGCACAGCCCCAGGACAGGCGGGGCACCCACTGCCTTCCCTTTGCCGATGAAATGAAAGATTACAGATGCTGCTGAAAATACAAAACATTGTTTCTTTCTCCCTCCAAAAGCCAGATGGGCCCGTTCAACACAACTTCTGACTTAGGGGGATAGAGTCTTAGGGATCACATCTCTGTGGCCTGCAGAACCACAGGGACCCCGAGTCCACATAGCCTCAGGGGTGATCAAACAGTCCTCATGGGGCAGTCCTGCTCTCTGAACAGCACCCATCACACCCTGCATCCCAGTGGCCCTCCTCACCCCCCACCCACACCTGCTGGGCATGGCCGTGTGGCCACGTGGGCCTGTGCCTGCAACTGCCATGGGTACCTGGGGATCCTGGAGAGCCTTTGGTGCCTGGCAGGCCGTGTAATCCACCGATGCCTTGGATGCCCGGTAAACCTGTGTGGGTTTCACTCACAGTTATTTCATGCATGGGAGAGCAAAGAGAGCAACCCGTACAATGAGTCAGACATGTTATCATTTGCTAAGATGTGGTCACCCATCCAATTTATTCAAACCCCCACAGACAGGAAGCAGTTCAGCAGCTAGTCTGACGTGTAAATGAATCACTTCTATGTCACCTGAGAGTACCGGTTAACCTAAGGATGGATTTCCTAAAATCTCTACTGACTCATAGAGCCAGGAGGGACCTGGAAAGTGGTAAGTTCTGTTTCTTTTCTTGGAGCTTGAGTCACTGGACATATTTGGTTTCTAAAAATTGCCTGGAACCAGTAGCCTGGCATTAGGTCCATTCCCTTTGGATTCTTGAAGACAAACATTTCTAAGCATTTCTAAAGTAGGACAAAGAACGCAGGCAGCGATTCGTTTTGTGATGTGGAGCAACAGAGCAGCTGCAGACTTGCCCATGGCCACAGGTCTGGCCAGCCTTGATTAGGGGCCTGTCAGGGCACCCAGGACCTGTCCCCTGAGCGGTGGCCTGTCCAGGTCAGGTGCATAACTCTCCAAACCCCACTAGTGGCTCCACCAGACCACTATCAGTGGGAAGCTGGGAAGTCTGTGGTGGAACAAGTTCGTGTCTGTCCCTCTGGTCCCTCCTTTGCACTGCCCCTGTGTTGACCAAGGATTGGCCCTATAGCTTCCTGGGCAGTTTTCACTCATTGTTCTGGGGAGGGACGCACCTCTGCAGACTGACAGGTCTGTCTTCTCCCAGTGGACCTGAGCAACTGCAAACCCGGTTCTAGGTGTGCTTTGTGTGGACAGTAAACCACACACACCCCTGCCTTTGACCTCACACAGTCTTACAGAAAGCAGTGTGGAGAGAGGCCAACCTGGCTAATGGTGCCCCTCTTCAACTGGCAAATCTATTTCTAAAACACTTTGCCCTTGTATCTGTGAAGAGAGAATAGTCGTACCTGGTAAGCCTGGAACACCTGGCCAGCCATAATCTCCTTTCTGGCCAGGCACTCCAACCCGGCCAGGGTCTCCTTGCTGCCCTCTCAGGCCCGCCTGTCCTGGAAAGCCTGGGGGAAGAAGGACACATCCATAAGTCGAACAGAAACCCTGAAGCCCTTGGGAGAGGCCTACCTGCCCGGCCTCCAGGTCCTGCCTGGAGAGGAGAGGAGGGGGTACTTTTTGGGAGAGGACCACCTTTCCTTCAAGCAGAGAATGCATGTGGCTTTGGACTCCACATTTAAGTTTAGTGGGGTTAGCTCAGCCTTGCCAGAGAGAGAACAGCTGTGTTTTCTTAGTCTTATCCTATCATCCAAATAGAAGTTTGGAGAGAACCCATGAAACAAGCCCTTCAGGATTAGTCTGTCAGAATCACAGGTCCTGGGTGAAAAGTAAACAAAGCAAAAGCAGCAATAAACCAAAAAGAGCATGAAATTAGTTCACTGTTTGCTTTCTGTCATTAACTTGGGATCCCCGAAGGAATTTCTACTTTCCCAAATTTGTGAAAGAGGATCTGCAACAAGAACTCAGTCTGTGTTTATGCAGAGACGGACACTGGGCCACACAGACGCTCCCCCACAGCCAGGCTGGTTTGCTTCTGTGTGTTTGGTCCTAAGGCACAGCCAGGGAAATGGGTGACATGCAAGAGCAAGCTTCCTGGTATGAGGTGTGATCGCAGCAGACAAGTCCTTGGGGAAACTGGCTGCTTTCGTGCTGGGGCATCGGAGATTTGGAGGCTGCGCTGTACTCTGCCCCACCAGCTGCTGCACTGTTAAGCCAGGCCCCAGGGAGTGCGCGTGCCCGAGGGGGATTGTGTGGCTGCAGGAGAGTTTACCTGTTTGCCCTGTAAGTCCGGGAGGGCCTTGGGCTCCTGCTATGCCTGTTATCCCAGGGAAGCCGATATCACCTTCTGCTCCTTTCTGTCCAAAGAATCCCTTCAGACCTGTAACCACGGATTTACTGCTCAGAACAAACCCCAGACAGTGCATCAAACTGCGCTCAGTGCTCACAGGGTTCAAGGGGATGCAAGGGAAAGGACGCCTCCACGCCGCACGTGGTGTTTGTGTGAATGGGGCTCAGGGCCTAAACATGTTCCTTCATCAACGAATTTTTTTCACCTAATTCTTCCCTCTGAGCCTGCGATCAGCACCCTCCTGCATCCCCTCCCACACCGAACAGGGCTGAACGGTGTCACCACCAGGACACCTCGGAAGTCATGGTGTGCCGCTTCAAGCCCAGGACACAAAATTCATCCCTGCTTCCCCTCGGTCATCTCGCTTGGATCTCGTGCTCTTGAGGAAGCCCCTGCCATGTTGTGAGGACACTCACGCAGCCCTGAGAGAGGCCCTGGTGTGGAGGAACTGAGGCCTCCCCTCTATGGCTGGGTGAGAGCGCCATCTGGGGTGGATGCTCCAGCCCCAGTCCAGCCTTCAGGTGATGCAGCCCTGCCCACCTCAGAGCTGGGATCTCACAAAGGAACCAGTCAGAACCAGCTGCTCCCTAATTCCTACCCTCAGAAAACCTGTAGTACTTGTTGATGTTCTAAGCCACTGCACTTTGGTACCTTATTAATAAGCATCAATAGATAACTAATCAAAGCCCTTATCAGAGTGGCTTTTTTAAAAAAAAACCCTTACCTAAGGATATGTATATTGATTTCAGAGAGAGAGAGGCAGGGAAAGAGCAGGGAAGAAAAGAGAGACAGAGAGAAACACCAATCTGTTGCTTCCTGTATGCACCGGACTGGGGATCAGACCTGCAACCTAGGTACGTGCCCTGACTGTGAATAAAACCTGCAGCCTTTTGGTGTATGGGACGACACTCCAACTGAGCCGCCTGGCCAGGGCCAGAGCAGTTTTTAATGTGTTATGTGCCATGGAATTCTGGGGGATTTGTTAAACATGCAGTGTTTGAGCTTCTCCTAGAGGTGACGTAGCAGGTCTACGGTAAGGCCTGGAATCTTCATTTTCAACAAGCACCTGAGGTGGTCATTGGGCAGACATAAAGAAGTGCTGCCTTCATGTTAGAGACAATATTCTGTCAAATGTTTTGGTGATTTCTGGTATGTTGGAAGGTTTGACAAACTTCAGACCAACCTGAATTCCACATAGTCACTTTTGCCCTGTGTCTTTTTAAATCCATGAGGCTATTGCGTAGACAAAATACTGTTAACGTTTTTCTGGACTTGAAGAAAAACTACCTAAGAAGTTCTGCTTATTTTCTATGAACTCTTTGACTATTTTGAAAATCTGCTCAAACCTGCTCATCCCCACTCAAACTGAGTGAGTCCAAAGTGGTTTGTCACTTCATCCTCTGAGAGAGCCGGCCTAATCACCGGCTCCCCAAGACCCCTCACATCTGGGAGCTGATCTGACCCAGGACCCCGCACCCACTCCCTCTGCTGCGCAGGCTCTGTGGCTGACCTCACTCGGCACACCCACTTTTCTCAGGGTGACCGGGACACCTGCAGGCATGGTTGATAAACTGCCACTGCCCCTCTGCCCCTGAGATACAGTCCCCTGGCGACAGACAGACTGGGAGGTTCTATTTCCTGGGCCCACAGTTGAACTATAATCTAAACATCCAGGGGTAACAACCATAATTCTTGGGGGAAAGTAATTTTTCTTTCTGATATTTTCAGATGCACAAATGACATATGGAAAGATGGCTTCACATTTCTGCTATTATAAACCAAACTGCCAAAACACCGTAATTTTTTTTTCGGACGATAAGATGCACCTAGGTTTTAGAGGAGAAAAACAGGAAAAAAATTTTTGAAGCAAAAAAATGTGGTAACATATAACATAATATTTCACCAATGTAAATGTAAACAGAACTCAACTGCAGCATGAACGATCATTATTCCTCCCAAATTTGGAGGGGGAAAAGGTGCATCTTATAGTCTGAAAAAATACAGTAATTATTCAGGCTAGGAGATCCAGACAGCCAAGAGCCAGAAGGCTCAGCAGCCCGGGCAACCCTGTGACGGTGAGGAGAGCCATCGAGAAACCAAATTCTAGATCCACATAAGTCCAGAGAGGCCAGTAGATGAGGGTGCCTGTTCCTGAGTGGTAGTCCTCTGATCCCATGCTAGCCTGGATATCCCTTTCCACTCTGGAGCTCTTTCTAGATAAAGAACCAGGACAGCATCCTCCCCACTGGGTGAAGAGGCTCTTCCCGCCCCCACCAGAGCTATCCCAAAAAGCCTTGGAGCTCCAGGCAACTTAAGCAGTGTGGGACCTCCCGAAAACAAGATGCCCAGAAGAAGGCATCATCCTATCACGTGGTGAGAGGATATTTCAAGTCCCTTGAGATATGACTATAGGCAAGAATTTTGACCTAGAACTTCAGGGATGTTCAAAGAGGAGGAATGAGCTCCTGTGCCACATGAGACTCCTGACTGCACACAGGGCCGGGGAGCTTCCCCTTCTTGTCTTACTCAAGAGATGGGCCAGACTTCCACTGACCTTTCTTCTCGACCCTTTGCTGTTTATGAGGAGCTCCAGTCGCCACACCAGCCGCTCCGTGCCCTATAATGTGTCCCAGGAGTCTGGGCTCTGCTTTTTCCCATGAGTCTCATTTTATAGGCCACATAAAATGTTGATTTTTATGAACGTTGATTCCGGCTATCTTCTCTTTCAGGGAGAGCCAGAGAGAGGTTTCCTGACTTTGTCTTCAATTCTACCTTAATTAAAAACTTCAGAGCCTCCCTTGCACACTGGGCTTGAAGACCTCAAACTATTCCCTATAATGGGATCCACAGTGTTTACAGAATAGTGACAGATTTGGCAAGCCAGTTCATAAGTGATGACACGGAGAAGGGGTTAGGGCTGTGCTGGGAGGAAGAGTTGGAAAATGACTTATGTACCTGGTGCTCCAGTGATACCTCGTTCCCCTTTCAGGCCTGGGCTTCCTGGTAAATTTATAGTGTCTCCAATATCACCTGTTGGGTGCAAAAAAAAAAAAGATGGTTGAGAACAGGTCTTCCTGTTGGCATGTGGTTAGTTTTACAACTTCTGTTGTGCTACATTCTTAATAAAAATAATTTGCTTCAAAATAAGTAATGGCATCTGCAGATCAGACATCAGCACAAATTCCCAGAATGCTCGGGGTTGTGGGGGCCATATTTTCCTTGTTAAGCAAAACTTACCGATGTCACCTGTGGGGCCAGCCTCGCCATAAAGACCTGTTCTCCCAGGAGAACCCTTGTCACCCTAGAGTCAAACATAAAACCATCTTAAAAGGTTATTCATAAAATAAGTTTGTAATTTTGAAGGTTATTGTGTACAACCATGTGATATGCTAAAAACAACACCCAGTCCCTGGCTGGCATGACTTGGTTGGAACATCATCTCTGAAACCAAAAGGTCATAGGCTGGATTCCCAGTCAGGACACATGACTAGGTTGCAGCTTTGGTCTCCAGTTGGGGTGCGTCTGAGACGCAACCAATTGATGTTTCTCCCTCACGTTGATGTTTCACTGTCTCTCTCTCCTTCCCTTTCTGCCTAAAAAATAATAATAAAAAGCAACACAAACCCCAAGATTTGTGATGTCCTCATTCTGTAGAAAACCTCTTAAGATTTTCAATGCAATAAATATAGTAAGTATAGTAGTTGCTTACACCTTCTTATTAGAATGAAATAAAGTTGGTGGCTGTATTGAAATGAATGACATTACTGATGCAGACCACAGCCATGATGCCAGTGACAATAACCATGGCTGACGGCTTCCTCACCCTCTGCCAGGCTTTCCATGGGTGAACATGTTGGGTCCCATCTTGAGAGCTTTTTAAGTGTTACTTCAACCCTATGGAGTAGGTGCTATTATTCTGCATTTGATAGGTGAGGAAATCGAGGCACGAAGCTAATTAAGCCACAGAACTGGGATACTGATTTGGGCTGCCAGATTCCCCAACTTGCTCCATATCGCATGGCTGTGCACTTCCATCTGTGGAGACAGTGCCTTCTACACAATGTTCATGTTGATAATGAGATTGAGAGGGTGTTTGAGTCACTCTGTGACTCCAAAGAAACCATGGTTTTACCTTCTGAAGTGCCTCTGCCTCACAGGGAGGGTGGGATTTCTGGTCTACCTTGCTCCCTCTGATCTCTGCTTTAGCATCAACCTGGGACTTCAGAACTGTCCTTTCCTAGTGTGGCTTGTGTGTCTAAATGATTAATGAAGCCCTATTTTTGTAGGAGTGGGGAGGATGCGCCACAAGAGGTACCCTTACTTAACCATCTATTTTTCTTTCTTAAAGCCTGCTTTATTAAAGCATAACTTACAGTGCAGTGCACTCATCTTAGATGCTCAATCACTTCTTACCCATGTGACACCCAGATAGACACAGAGCATTCAGCACTCTAGAAAGTTCCTCTGTGCCCTTTCCTACTCAATAATCCTGCCTCTCTTTGGACTTGCCTCTATTAAACAGTCTTGTCATAAAGATGGAATCTTATCAAATGTACTTCCTGTTTCTGGTTTATTTTGTTCAACATAAAGTCTGTGAGATTCCCGTTTGTGTTTTTGCATTTATCAATAATTTTCATTTCACTCTTATGCACTAGTCCACGGTCTGAACACACCACGTGTATTTAACCTCCATCCTGCTGATGTTTCCCAGTGTTTGACCGTCATGGATAAAGCTGCTGGGAACATCGGCACACGGGTTCCTCAGTAGACATACTGAAGCTGTGTGACTAACTGCACACAAGGTGGTATAAGGCCCCCTCAGCTATAGATTTTGGGGTGATGGAATGAAGACGCCTGAAGAATTCTGAGGTCTTCATGTACACCAGGCTAGGCTGGGCAGAAGGGCAAGCCACAGCCTGTTGCTAAAGGTTCACTACGGGGTAGCTAGACCTTCTGATCTGCCCCAAATACGCTGATCTCTCTGTGAATGCCAAAGTGAGTCACTTGTATGCTGAGGACTGTGAGTGTATAATAGCCTTTTAAATGAAAGGGGATAAAAAGAGAATTCCATGAAATACAACCTGTTGAGAGCCAGTCCGTGCCATGTTACGTATACTATCTATACTGCACTCCATAAAACTGCAAGGAAGCTACTACCTGCGTTTTACAGATGAGGACACAGGTGTGTAGAGGTGAGAGCCCTTCTCGGGTTGGGGTCCACCACTGTTACCATGAAAACATGGGGCCCGAGACATAGAGAGTGCTCAAAAGACATGAACTGAGTAAAGAAACGAGGAAACGGCAGGCCAGTTGTCCCCCCCTGCTATGATTCAGTACTGGGTTTTCAGTGCTGATGTCCCGTATGTGCTGGAGTTGAGAGCCCAGATCTCTAAAAATTCAAGTTTTTTTCTCTAGGTTACCATGAACAAACACAGACACCATGCTTCAACCCATGAAGCTCACAAAAGGGTGGCAGTGGAGGGGGCGGCACCCCAGTCACCACCAGTGTTGGCAGGAGCACAGTGCTTCCTTACGCTGACCCAGGGACCCCACCTGCCTGGGGCTCCATCTCTGAACCTGTGCCTTGACCACACACATGCTGTAAATGCTGGGCCACGGCACTGCGGTCAACAAGCAAGGGCAGAGGAGTCGACAAGAAGACGTGGGGTGAAAGGCACCCACTTACCCTACTTCCTGTGACGCCTGGAAACCCTAGAATTCCGGGGGAACCGGGCACACCAGGAAACCCTGGCAAACCAGGTATGCCGGGAGCTCCGACGTCTCCTTTGACTCCTTTGACGTAGCCGGGCTGCCCAGGCAGCCCAGGGCTGCCCGACAGTCCGGGGATCCCTGGCATTCCTGGAAGGCCTGCAGAAAGACACCGAGTGTCATGCCCTGGTGAGGACATGGCATCTGCCCTCCCCAGCTTTCGACTTTGCTGTCCTGAGTGCTGCAAATCTTAAAATGGGAAGGCAAGGCTAATCGGCCCTCAAAGAACCACCCATGAGCCCATGTGTTGAGATGTCAGGGTGTCAGGCACAGGGACATCTCTGGTGCAGAAGCTGCTGCTCCTTTAGACTCAGAGAAGCAGGGTGGGCAAGAGGCTGGGCAGGGAGGGACGGGACCCCTCACAGGTCTGACAGCTCAGAGGTCAGACTGGGCCTTTCGGCAATACCTCACCTTTTAGACCCAGGAAGCCTTTCAAACCCATAGGTCCTTCATCTCCTTTCTCCCCTTTAAACTGTACAATTATATGTGGCTGGATGATGGGAGGTGGTCCTGGGGGGCCTGGCTCCCCTCGGTTTCCTGGAAGGGAACAGAATGCAGTTATTTCACTTGACCTCTAGACCAGGTATAAAAACACAGGTGGAGAAGGCCTCTCAGCTGCTGCTGTCCTTCAAAACCCGAGCCCCGAGAGGCTCTGAGACACAGTGCCTTGTCGTCTGGCCCTCCTCTACACTTTCTCTACAGTGGAGGTGTGGGCACATCGGGGTGGAAGGGGCTGCTCCCCACAGCAGTGCTGCCTGCGCAATGCAGGGATGAGTGTGATGGGGTAACACAGAACGTGAGGGTTTCCTATTTGCACTCTGAAGAGACAGCAATCCAACTTGATCGCAAGCTGGAAAGCTCACATGAGGAAGAGGGCAAGCTCAGTCCCCTTCCTGTAGGTGCCGGCCGGGCCTCAGAACTCACCACGGGTCAGCCAGGGCTGGGCGCCCACAGTAAAAGTGGCTCGGGTGTTGCACAGGGACTTGTAAGGAGGTAAGGAACTGGTTGGGGGCCTGGGAGGCAGCAGACCAGCCAGAGAATTGTGCCATATGGTTCAGGCTGAGAATGTTCCAGGATCTGGGTTCACTGGAGACGGCAGCTGGTGAGATTCAGACTCAGCTGAATGGAATTTCGCTCCATACACTGAATATTTATTGAGCACGTAGTGCTGGGCTAGATACGGAGGGGACAAAGGTATCAGCTGTTCCTGCCCGTCCCTGCTGCCCAGCAAAGGGCCGGGCAGCCCATGGTTTATCTACTTCACTGCAAGGAGGCTGGAGGAAAACGTGTGATGGAGTCAGGAAAAAAACGGGGTAGAATCCAAGTGTAACTTCATTTGAAATTTAATTTTAAAACACCAGTTTTTGCTCAGTGGCCTATAAACTCTAAATTAACATAAAGATTATTTAAAAATTTGAGTGTGAGTAGACAGCTTGGAAAAAATAGTGCCTTAGACTGTAACTTCTATTTTTCTAAGAATTTGTAAAAGTTTTAACTCTTCGAAGAGCAATTAAATTTCCAAAAAAAAGCAGCTTGATGGAGATGTAATTTACAAACCATACAATTTACTCATTTAAAGAGAACAATTCAGTGGTTGTCAGTGTACTCAGAGCTGGGCAAGTGGCAGCACAATCTAACTTTGGGTCCTTTTCGTCACTCCAGGAAGGAGGCCGATGTCCATGAACAGTGGTTCCCCGACCATTATCTGGACATTTCACATACATGGAATCAGACAATACGTGGCATAAAGTTTTCAAGTTTTATGTATGTTGTAGTATGTGTCAGTACTTCGCTCACTTTTATTATTGCTGAATAATATTGTTATATGGACATGCCACATTTTGTTTATCTGTGATGGATGTTTCTACTCTTGGTTATTGTAGATAATGCTGCTGTGAACATTCGTGTACAACCTTTCGTGTGGACACCTTTTCGTTCTCCTGGGTGCAGACGGAGTAGATCTGCTGGGCGACTCTACGTTTAACTTCTTAGGACACTGCCGGACGGTCTTCTACACTCACTCTACCACTTTCTATTCCTGCGAGCCACGTAAGAGGGTTCCCATTTCTCCACAGCCTGTCCATACTTGTTATCAGGAATTGAGTTTTTAGAAACAATCGCGATACTTTCAGAACAAAGGTGTTGGAACAAAAGTCATGAAAATGTGGCTTGCTGGTAACACATCCTCAACAAGAAGCCTCACACTTGGGGTTTGGAGAGCCTGGCCCACGGCAGGCCTCGAACCAGCCTCATTTCTGTGGGTCACAACCTCTTCGGCACAGCCTTGCACCCCTCCCCCGCAATACCGTGTCCCTCCTTTGCCAACGGCATTCCCCTTGTTTAGAATTTATTCCTTCTGTTTTTCACCTGGCCTCACGTGGCTCACATGGAAGAACCGTGGCCGGATATGTTTCTTTCTAGTTGGTTCTTAGAGCTGCCATCACTTAGTTCTCAAAGTTCCCTTTGACTGGAATTATTCCCTTATTTCACTGTCAGTGTGTGGAGGCAGGGATAAGGACTACTGTTCTTTATTAGTTTGTGTCTTTCAAAAGTGTCTACCTTTTTGGGTTCCTAGAAGACCCATGAAAGTGAGTCTCAACTCTGTGCAAAAGACCTTAAGAGAAGCAGGCACACCTTTCACGCCTGGCTGGCCAGCCAGCCCCTTTCCCCCTGGAACTCCGAACAGTCCGGCTTCTCCTTTGCTTCCTGGAAGCCCGGGTCTTCCTTGGGGCCCAAGCATGCCTTGGAAACCATCCATCCCCGGAGAACCTCTCTCCCCTGCAGAAGGAGCAAGGAAAATCTTGGGTTAGGCATGGATAAACCCGTGGATATTTCCGTCTCACTCGTCTGGCATTTCCACAGAGTGAGTCACATGAGAAGATGCTGGGATTCTTTTTGTCTGTTTGCTTGCTAATATTCTTAACTTAAAAAAGGGGCTTGCATGCTGACCTATGTACAGAGTCATAGGTACAGAATCAGCCCACCGGCCATCCGACTGCCAGGGACAGGACATCAGGCACATGCACAGTGGTCAGGCAGAAAGACGTGAGGAAAACTGGGAGGTTGCCTAGGTCGGTGGGCCCATGGAGAAGAGGTAAGAAGGGGCACCAGAAGTTCACATGGTGCTAACACCACACCCAGCATGGAGACCTGGCAAAGAACCACCGGAAAATCAGATCGCTGTGTCTCCTGCAACGGTCGAAGGCCAGAGGGCTCCACTTCTGGATGGACTGGCCTCCATTTGTGGGAAAATAACCCTACGCTGGTGACCAAGCATCTTCCCGTTTTGGTTCCTGTTCACCAGCCTCCGGATGGGAATCCTATCTCCTGAGGGGACTTGCCCACAAACTTCCCCCTGGATAATAATTCCTGTTTCTCAGGTAGTGGCTCTCCTGGTAAACTAAGAAATCGGCCTTTTGGGCGCATCATTCCCACCCCACCTAAGCGGCATCAGCCACTTTTCCCCGGGCTTTGGCCTGCAGGCGTGTGGGGGGGTCCTCTCCGGCAGCGCTGTCCCAAGCCCAAGTTTAAATGCCCAACACCCTGTGAGGTAATTCCTAGTCACGTCACACAGTCACCTTTCAGTCCGGGGGCACCGGGCATTCCAGCCATCCCCACAAGGCCAGGCTGTCCCGGCGGGCCTCTCTCGCCCGAGAAACCAAGATCGCCTCTATCACCGGGGACACCTTTCATGCCCAAGGGGCCAGGGACCCCTGTGTCGCCTGGGTCCCCTCTTTCTCCAGGCAGACCTGTCCAAGAGAGGGGTCAGAAAAATAAAACAGCATGCACACACCATACACAGAGAAAATGCCTCTTCCAATACTTTTAAGGCATTAATTACAAAAACCTTTCTGATAAAAAGAAAACTTTTGAGGAGGAAAATACAAAACGGTAACTATAAAGGTGCATTTTCAAGGTGTGACCGCAGGATGCAGAAAACTCGCCAGGACGGCCTTTCTAAAGAGGTCTTTTTTTGAAAGCTGGAGGCTGACTTGTGGGAATCAAGCTAAATGTGACTTGTAGAAAAATCTGACCTTCTCCGCTCAAGCCCTCTTGGCGAGGGAATGCAGTTACAGTGGTGGAATGATCAGGTGGATACAGGGGTCCCTGCCAATTCTAAGCCTGGATGTGATTCCAGGGGGTAGCCCTGGGCTGCCTGCCTCTCTTGGCCATCGCTGGCCGCAGCCTGGGGATTTGGTTCTGGGGGAGCACCTGCACCTGCCCACTTGACTGCTCCCGCCTCATTACGTCATCAGGGCTTCCTCTGCTGCCCAGCGCACCACTTTCCCTTAGTCTCCTACCACACGGTTGCCAGCGTTCTTAATGCAACCCTTTGTTAAAACCCTCAACAGCTCCCTCACCTAGGGGATCTAACTCCTCTGCTCAGCATTCAATGCCTTCTGAACTTTGGCCCAGACCACCAGTCCCCTCCTCAGATTAAGCTCTCCTCACCGGCCAGTTTGGGGGAGCACAGGGCCAAAGCTTTTCTTGGGCATTCCCCCATCTGCCTCCCCTATGCCTCCTGGGAAGGACCCTGTTCCAGTCCTGTCCATCTTCCAAGCCTGGCTTGTCTCATCTCCTCCTCCCAAGGCTGCTCCAGGCTGTCTAGCTCCCCCGCCCCCTGGGAGACCAGGAGCCCCAGGGTCTGTTCACTCCTTTGGCTGGCTCTGGCCCAAGGCATGGCTTTTATGTTTGTAATTCTTTCCCCACCTAAACTGTAGGCTCCTTAAGGCAGGGCTTTTGCATAGATTTTTATAAGCCATGCAGTGCTAGTTAGCTGGTGTTCTATGTCTGAGAACTGGCAAGGCCTGTGAACACGGACACAGAGGGCTCCAAGCCTCCCACCCAGGATTTCAGGTACCGTAACACCAGTGGGTAGCATGGTGTCTGGGGCATCTGTCCCACCTGCGTGGAGCCCCAGTTTTTGGACACACTTGGGGCTACACATGGGGGAAGCCCTGGGCCTGTGTGTAGAGGAGTGTCTGGCTTACATGGGGTCTTTATGTGGCACAGTGGTTCCCTGGTATTGACCAGTTATGGTCCTAGACGAAGTTGTCACCTGACTATGGCAAATGAGAAAACTAGGGTTGGCCCCGGATGGTGCCTGGTCAACGTACGGGCCCTTGACTTCCTTCAGCACCGCCTTGGCTGCCTCCCAGCCTCTCTGCAGGGGGAAGGCAGCCAACGGGAGAGGCCCCAGGAAGCACCAGCCCTGCTGACACCTTGATGTTGGACTTCCAGGTTCAGGACTGTGAGAGAATAAATTTCTGTTGGTTAAGTCATACAGTGTAGGGTACTTCTGGAACCTCTGCAGCTCTGGATGGGGGGGTGATCCTCGGAGCACAGTTTAAGAACTCCCCAGGGGGAGGTGGTGCTTGTTTAGTTGTTAATGTGAGCGAGGCTCTGACCCCTTGTTGGGAGGGTGGGACTCTTACCTTCGTGGCCTATGGTGCCGGGCAGCCCCAAGGGCCCCTCCTGGCCCGGAGCTCCAGGGAAGCCACGCAGCCCTGGTGGCCCGGGCAGCCCCGGTTGGCCGAGAGGTCCTGGGAAGCCGGGGATACCCTTCAGGCCTGGCATTCCTGGCATCCCTTGGCTTCCTGGAACAATTGAGACAAGAGCCTTGAGGTCAACCCCCTGTGATTCACGGCAAGCGATGGCTACATCCTCAGAACTGTTCTATAAAAACGGGATTTAATTTTTTAATGAATTGTGGGACTTCTGGAAAACGCAAAGAAGTACAAAAGGTAAGATCAAAGTAACTCACACCATCATCCTGAGATAATTACTAACATCCTGGTATATTTCCTTCTAGCTTTTTTTCTAGTCACATAAATACACCTAGAAATAGATATTCTACAGAACTGACATCACAGTATAAGTAAAATTTTAATCTAGGTTTTCTTTTCACTTGACATTATATTTTGAGCATTTTGACACATTTAAAATACTCTTTGCAAGACTGTGAAATGGCTATATGAATAATATCCCATCATAAGGACACATTTAGTTCCCTATTTTTTTTGCTCTTACAGTGTTATGAGGAACAGGTGTGTGTGTGTGTGTGTGTGTGTGTATACACACACCCTTCTCTTCCCCTGTTCCCACCTCATTATGTCATCAGGGCTTCCTCTGCTTCCTCTGTGTACACACACACACACACACACACACACACACGTAATGCATGCTCATGTTGTCAGTCATTTTGTTAGGAAAGCGTCCTGGAAATTGACTTAATGGGTCAAAGCAAATGTGAACTTAATGGTTTTGAGTACACTTATTTCAGACACCAGCCTCAGTGTATTTTCCTCCCACTGTTTTCCCAGCATTGAGAACTGGCATTGAAGTGCAGCCAGAAACCTGGTGGACAGGTACAGGGGAAGAGGAGGGAGAAGCAGCTGCATTACTTGGCATGTTTTTGATGATGAGTCACATTTCTTTCTCCTAGTTTTTACTTTTTGGTGAAACTTTTGTTCTTCACTGATATTTCCCTTTGGGGATTCTAGTTTTCTTCTTATAGATTTTAGAATCCCTCATGTACATTAACCTATATTTCTTCTTATCTATTTTAAAGCTTAGCTAGTGCCCAAATTTTCATTTTGTTTTTGATATGTATTTGTACAAACGTGTGTGTGTGTGTGTGTGTGTGTGTGTGTGAGAGATCTTTCCTTGATTTTATGTCTAGAATATCCTGCCCTAACCAGGGATCAGACAACTGTGAGCATGTATTTTCTTTTCTTTTTTTTTTTAACACTAACTCCCTGGACCTCCTTATATTTAGTCATTTTCTCCTTTCTTCTGGGAACTTAAACTTTGTTACATTCATCCAATCAATACTGGTGGAAGGGTCAAAGTCTGCCTTTTGCATGTCTCGCCAATGACTTAGGGCACTCGTTCTTTTATCTCTGATCATCCCACCGAGTGTGCAAGGGTGACTAAGAAGAGGAGGTAGACGAGTGGGGTGAACAGGGTGGGGGGTCATTAACAAAGGGATCGAGTTAGTCCTGGACCAACCCAGACTCTCAAGCCTGTGGTCCAGTTATCTGATTTCTTAAACCATAAGAAAGGTACACAGTAAGCAGGATGCATACAGTGTTCTCACATACTCCTGATTTTCTGTGGGAAATGAGGACACTTATTTTGGGGTTCTATCTTTAGAGTTCACAGCTCCAGGGAATGTGATTGCTGGTGGCTGCTGGTGGTCCCATGAGAATAGGCAGGCAGTGGAGATTTACAGAGAAAAGCCCTGGCTGGTGTGGCTCAGCGGACAGAGCGCTGGCCTGTGAACCAAGGGGTCATCGGTGTGATTCCCAGTCTAAGCATATGCCTGGGTTGTGGGCCAGGTCCCCAGCTGGGGTATGCACTGATGTTTGTCTCCCTCTCTTTCTCCTTCCCTTCCTCTCCCTAAAAAATAAATAAAATCTTTAAAAAAATTACAGAGAAGCCAGGCTCCTGCCTCAATATTCTGTTCCTCCACAGGACAGACAAGCTAACCTCATCCAAGAGCCCTTTGGGCTGCACGACCTGAGTGCACTGAGCACGTGAGGCCGTGGACGCCGTGGCCAGCAGGGTTGAGGCTGGTCTGAGTGCACATTTCTGGGGTGCCTCCCTCATGGAAGTGGACAGGACAGGCCACAAATAAATGGTTGCGATGACCTCTGCTAGTTAGGTGGTTGTCTTGAAAATATCAGGTTGAGGTGTTTTGTTCTTTCAGTTGTTGATGGAGCTCAATATTGTAAGTCAATTTCTATTTATAGAACATCTCTTGAAAAAAAGTAACAACTACGAAAAGTCAGCTGCCCTCAGCTAAGTAAGACTTGTGGGACTAGTTCCTCGAAGTTCTGCTCAGGCACCTGGGCTGCACTGGGTGCCTTCGTAACTGCCCACTGCAGCCAAGTAAGCCAGACGTGGCGTCATCTGCCCACTGCTCCTGTCACAGGGGAGGATGGAAGTGACATGGAAGCAGTTTCTCAAAAATTTTGAAGCCTGTAGGAAGTAGTTACATTTAAAAAAATCTACCGGAAGTGCCCTTCCGTAAAGGAGCTCAGGGCACAGTTGTTACAGGATTGCGGAACAGAATGGTGGGCACATGCTGACACTCATGAGCGTGAGTGCTGAAAGGGTTTTTAAATGACCACGCGTGGGGTGCTGCCCTCCAGTGCCGCCAACTCCTCAGTCTCCACGGTGCTGAGTTACACCTTACGCTCCATCACTGACCGAGAGGTAGTATAGTCGGCAAGGGAGACCCGAAGCATCCTGGCATCGGGTCCCCACTGCGTGGTGGTGGCAGCCAATGACCCACGTACCTGCTGGGCTTAGACAAAGTGGTGTGGTTCAGGGGTGTGTGTAGATGCGTGTGTAAGTGTATGAAGAGTGTAAATAGAGAAAGGTGAGTGCAACTGTGTGGGTATGTCTGTGTGTGTATGCGTACATGTGAGCACATATAAGGGTATGAGTGGGGGCACATATGTGTAGATCTGTGCATGTACAGGTATGATTATGTACACGAGCAGGCAAGGGCATGCATGCATACATGTGGGGGCATTAATAAATGTGTGTATAAGTATGTATGGGGGTGTGCACATGAGCCTGTGTATACAAGCATACGTGAGAATGTGTGGGTGTAAGCGCATTTGAGAGCACATGTGCATAAATGGGTGTGTGTGCGTGTCAGCCACACCCTCTGTCCCATCTCCCAGGCCTGCTGGGAACTGACAGGCTCATTATCAAACCAATTCACACTCCTGAACTTGGTAGGTTCAGTGGCCCTTCAAGAACCAGGCCTCATTACCTTTGTGTCTTCATGTAAGGATGCCCTGCAGGTCTGATGGCGTTTGCTTCCTGAACAACACAGGAAGAAGCCTCCTTGTGCCTGGGCGTGGGGCAGGACCGATGACAAGCCGACGACATGCACACAGTTGATGTGTAAAGTTACAATGAATGCCTCCTGCATCTTCATATTTGACTGGGAACACCCACTATCAGATTTCAATGGTCTGGCAGTCTCCAGCATGTGGTGCACTGAATGTAAATACTTGCTCTTTGCTGACATAAACTTTCATTAAAGGGAGGTGTCTGGGGTTCCCAATGCCAGTTTTGCATAAATTGTAAAGCATCTAATGCCTTGTTTATTAATCAGACAATGGAGATCTTTCTACTTTGCTAAACATACATAGACAATATTATAAACACTATTAATGAATTTTAAAGCGATCAATTTTACACCAACCCATGAGATTGCATTCTAGGTAATTTCTCTCTTCTGCTTCAACCTCTCGCGAAGCATGGCCTGGTTCCTCTTTTCACACCTACTGCACACACTCTGTGGAACGCACCAGCAAGCCCTCATGCTGATTCACACCCAACATGAAAACAGAGTCCATCAGTTAATCCATACTTGTAAAAGGTCTTAAATGACCGTGTTTCCTGGCTATAGAAGGTAAATACAGGATGATGATTACTCTCCTAAAAACATTCTAGAAGAACAATGGAACTAAGTGGGGAAGAGAAAAAGCAAGACTTGTGCCAGAAAGTTCTGTTGCTCCTAACCAAATCCCCCCTAGGAGGGGTTTCACAGCTATCCTGGGAGCCATACTGACTTACCCCTGAATCCAGGTGCACCTCTTTCTCCGGGAAGGCCTTTCAGCCCAGGGTGTCCAGGCAGTCCAGCATCTCCCCGGGATCCAGGCTGGGCTCCCAGGACTTCACCAGGAAGGCCCCTGTCCCCTGGGGGTCCGACTGGTCCTGGTAGGCCGCTGGGACCTGGGAGTCCATCAGGGCCAGGGAGGCCCATCAAGCCTTTGGATCCTCGGGGCCCCACGAACCCTAAAAGGAAACACGGGGTCATCCCCCAAACTGCAGGTTAGCATTGTGATGTTCTAAGAGAGACCCCAGGGGTTTGCAGTCAGGGTCCCCAACTCGAGCCCGAGCCCTGTGGCCCGCTTTGGAGCCACAGCACTCACGAGGCCACCCTGTCTCCCTCTGTTGCCTGGCCCTTAGCCCTACCATTTAGCTACAGTGGATGAGGCCTTTAGAAACAACCTCCCTGGACATGAATCGTCACGATTCATGGCGTCTCACATGGTGCAAATAATCCCCAAGAGACAGGTTTTGTGGGACCTTCCAGGATGTGTTTGCAAGTGAGGGACAGAGCAGTGGGACGGAAAATCCCTCAGAGCCCAACTGTGGCCCTGTAACTGTCTCCTTTGTCATGGGTCCATTTGGAAATGCTTTGAAGGGGAATCGATAGTCCTTTGTCATTGTGAGTATCAACCTCCCATATCTGGATGGAGAAAGGGTGGCTGTCATGTGCTTGGGCAATTGTGTGTTTCCTGAACACCACTGGGTCAAATGGTCTCAGTGCTACTTCCCCTGTTGGGTGCTCACCCCTGATGTGACCTCAGATTGAACTGCAGGAATAGGAAGTCATGTGCTTGTTCAGAAGGAGAGCTTTTTGAGGTTGTTCTTGCCTCGGCTTCAGTGTGCAGGGCATGGGAGGGAGGGCACTGTGTGCCCCTTGTGTGTGGTACACCTGACAAAAAGCCCCCTTGCACAGGGCGCCGGGCCTTTCCTGCGACGGGAGCACTCAGCATGCATAGAGCTGGGAGATGGGCTGAACGGTGTGGCTGTTTGGGGCCCAGAACAAAGGATCTGGACATGACCTGAGAATTAACTAGCTGGACCCTGTTTCAGAGTTTTAATGCTGTGATTTACCCACATAAAGAAGAGCTATGGCTTTCATGGGAATGTTAACAAACTATACATGGGAACTGTGCACTTAAATTTGTGGGTGTGAGTGCGGATGTGAATCTTATTTCTGGGACAGACTCTGGGTGTGTTCTGCAGTCTTTGAAGTGGGGCATTTTCTTCTGTATGTGGTGACAGAAGCATAGTATATTCCATTACCATAGTGACGTGCTTTCTAAAATTGAATAGATCAGTTCCTCCTTTACCCCTTTCCTCTGGTCTACCCAGGCCCTGGTCACTTAAGGGCTTATATTTCAACATAGAACAGGATCTCTACCTGCTGTCAGCTTCCCAAATACCCTGATAATGGGTGTGTCCCACTTGTTCTCCACACCAGGAGAATGCTATGCAGTTCATGCCCTTGAACTTGAACTCGTCTGGGCACTTAAATTATGATTACCAGGTGTCCTTCATATTCAAGGCATTTAGGAAGTGTTTTCCTTCTCTCAACAATTCACTTCACTTTTGTGTATCTGGGATCGACTAAGGGGCAAAGCTGTAACCGCCGAACATTTAGGTGCTCCCAGCAGGGCAACAAAACCATACAGTCCGATTCTCTGGTGTGGTGGCAGGAAACTTTCTTTGTCTCTTTCCAAAGCAGGTTTTTACCAGTCGGCGAAAGACACACGGAATATGCATCCCAGTTTTCAAAACACAGTGAGACGTGTAATAGGAAAGGCAACAGGGTAAAGGTTTGCAACCATCGTTATGGAGTTCAGGAAGGAAGTCTATCAGAGACTGAGATGAAGTTCTACATGTAGGATTAAACCACGTGTCTGAGTGTAGGCCAGGGAAGAGGCAACATTTAATTAATCTTTGCTGAAAATATTTACTAAGGGCTTAAATCTAAGGACACACAGACCCACTGCTCTGTGTGGTATTCCAGACGTGTGGGACATTTATTCAGTTTCTGGATCTCAGTTTGATGTGAATGTTGACATGCTGGAGGGCAGTGATGCAAGTGAGTTTGGAATTCTGAGGGCATGAAAATTATGGCATGAAAAGAACATCCGGCCCTGGCTGGTGTGGCTCAGTGAATTGAGTGCCGGCCTGAGAACCAAAGGGTTGCTGGATCGATTCCTGGTCAGGGCACAGGCCTGGGATTGCAGGCCAGGTCCCCAGTGAGGTGGGGTGTGCGAGGCAACCACACATTGGTGTTTCTCTCCCTTTCTTTCTCCCTCCCTTCCCTGCTCTAAAAATAAAGATATAAACTCTTAAAAAAAAAAAAAGAAAATCTGCAATCCCAGGTCAGGGTGTCCGTCCTTGAGATGCCGTGGAGAGAGGTGACTGCTGTCCCCCAGGGCGGGAGGGGCGGTCGTGCAGTAGAGCCGCTGGTCCCAGGGAACACCAGCAGAGAACCTACTTGAGGCAGACTTCCTTTCAACGGGGGCAGAACTTTCTGGCAATAAGAGTTTCAACGTTTCACAGGTGCTGGGTGACAAGAGGCTAGAACACCTGACCAGAACCCCGCGGGAGGATGTTTCGCCTTGGGCAGCCTTAGTGACTTCTACAGTTTTATTTATTTATTTAAATAATACAATTCCAAAATGCATGGGCCTCTGCATTCCAAGTGACACAGTCACACCCACACCCTTTCAGCCATAACCGCACGGGGCATCTGGGGGTGGGGACACTAGATCGTACGGACGAGCATGCTGACACCCAAGCAGGTAGCCCACCTCACCACCGCTCACTCATTACCAGGGACAGATCCACTCCCCTCTATGCACAGATAAGTAAGTGCCTTCAGCTACTTTCGCCACTTACTGACTTAAATGATTCCTTGCTGTGTCATGTGTAGATGGAATGGTTCAAATTGGTTACTCAGACAAGCTACAGGCTGCAGAGTGAGCAGATAATGCCGTGAAAAGCAAAAACATACACACTGTTTAGCCGGTGAGTGATCAGCAGATTGGGAATCCATGGTGAGAGGACTGTGTGTGCCTTTAATGATAATCACAGAAGAGGATAACACTGTGCGCTCTTAGAATGTTTACTATTAACCAGAGAGAAACCTTTGTGCACGCTTCTCTCTCTCTTTTTTCCTTGCAAAATCTGTATTATCCTCTGCAACACTCCAGTACAACATTCATGATAAAAAAATTCAAGAATGCTAACCTCCTAAGGACAAGAACAAAAGTCATCAAGCACGTGTCAACCCAGTTTCTACACGTTACGGACAGTAGAGCTGGGGTACCCTGATCATCCGCTCACAGCATGTCCTAATCTAAGGGCCTGAGGGGGTCCGACCTGACTTACCTGGGGGTCCTGGGAACCCTTCACGCCCTGGATCTCCGGCGAGACCCTTGGGTCCTGGTGGTCCATCTGCTCCTGGGAATCCTGGTATCCCTCTGAGGCCTTTGGCACCTAAACAATCCAAAGAAATCACAACACGTATCAGAGCCCCGTGAAGAAACCCCAGCAGTAAGGTGAACAGGAAGTGATCGAGTTTGGCACTTGAGTTAATGTGGAGATGGTGAGGCTGGGACCTCAACCCTAAAGCAGCACCTCTGACAGCCAGCCACACCCAACTGTGGACCCCGCAGACCCTGGCGGTGGGCCGCATCCCTCAGTGAATGCCACCAGAGGGCCCGCCTGGCTGGGCTGACTGGTGAAGGGCTCTTCTTGTTGAAGCTGGTAAAGATGGGAAGAGTGGACTGCTTCTTCAAATGACCTCACATCAACACAAGGACAGAAGGGTCACCAACAACAGGGAACCATGACACCAATGAGGAAAACTAGCAAAGCTCAAGTGACCAACTGTAGACCAACTGTAGAGATCAGAAAGTACTTGACAAAGAATTCAAATGAATTTTCCTAGAGAAGCTCAGGTCATATAAGAACACACATGGACAGTAAACAAAATCAGGAAAATAATATACACATGTCATGAGAAGTTTTACAAAGAAACAGAAGCCATAAGAAAACAAACAAACAAACAAACAAACAAACAAATAAATCCTGCAGCTGAAGACTATAAATGACTGAACTAAAATAAAATAGCATCTCTGGGCTTATAGAATGATTTCCAGTATTTAAAATTCATGCTTAAGGACTCAAACTGTAATAATGTTCAATATTAAGGTTCCACAGGGCTCGGAATGCCTGGGTGTGAATCGTGGCTCTCCTATGTGTGTGGTTTAGGACATGTTTCTAAACCTCCCTGGACCTCAGTTTCTTCATCTGCAAAATGGGGAACTAACACCCACTTCATGGGGCGTCGTGAGGACAATGAGATGACTCCTGCCAAATGTCTGAGCAGTGCTTGCACAGGGGTGAGCTCCGCAAATGTTCTAATGAAAAGAAAGCTGGAGTTCCTCACCAATGTCACAGAGCTGGACTTCATGCTTGCCGCCCATGTTCATGGCTCTTCCTTGGAAAGTGGATGCTGTGTGACACCCACTTGCCCCTCCCTCCTCAGGAGTGGGTACGTGACAGCAGAAGTGAGTAAGGAGAGTGAGACTGGAAGCAAGCCAGGGGCTGCTGGCCATGGGAGCCCTGGTCAGGAAGTGAAACTAACAGCCACAGCAGGACAGTGACCCGGGGTCTCAGACACCCAGGCTCTGACTTCTGAGCCCTTTGCAGGGACCAGGCCTCAGATTATGTCTCTGGTCTGACACATGTATGGCACTCTGGTCCTCTCTGACCACAGAGACTTTATCTGTATAAGACCTTCTTGCATAAAGCAAGGTTCTCAGACTGACACTAATCACATGTTCCTAAACACAGGGGGGTTCTCATGAAAAATTCGTCTTATTTGTCTCCGTTTCCATCAGGTCCAGTGTCAATGTCAGGATGCAAGGCCAAAAACTCTACAGACTTACTTGATCTGAGCAGACGCTGTATCATGACTCCCAAGCCTGGGAGGGTCTCTCCCTGATAGTCAGGAAATGAAGAGATGAACCCAGAGCTTCAGAAACCTGACACCCCCACATTCACTGAAGCCTGGACTACAGGGGCACAAGAAGGGGCCAGGCAGACCTGCATCTGCAGGGCACCACCCTCCTCCCTGGTGAGCTGGGAGGAGCCATCTGGTCACCCCCCAGGCAGTGAGGACAGGCCTGCTCCTGGGCTCTGAGGTTTGGTCAGCTTCCTGAGAGACAGAGTGGCTCTCTGCCTCTTGCCTATGGTCCCTTGGACCCCCTCCACTCTAGACGGTTCTGGAACTCTGGAGCAAACACTGAAGTCTGGGAGGTGGATGACACTGGCACATTTCTGGGGGCCACATTTTGAGTAGCAAGGTGCTTGAAGGTTGCCTGAGTTTCCTCCAGTTATCATGGCCTACACCTTATTGCAATTCTCTCAACTTTTTCCACTGCAGCCTGCAAACATTTACAATACCTTAAACATTTTTAACAAATATGGAAAACTTGAAAGTGTTCCACATCCTTCGCCCAGAGCCAATATACCCAGATTTGAAAAATGTTGACTGATATTACTTATAATGAATGACTTAGACTAAAAAGAAAGTAAAACTTCCTACCAGCTGAATGAAGTAACTCCTAATCTATTGGGCATCTTTGATCTGAACCTTTTCATATGGGAAGCAAACTTGAGGCATTTTTCCAGGTGTCTCTGTGCCTGCCTGGTCTCAGGCTCAAGAATTCCCTTCATCTCAAGCTCTCAGATACCACAGCCAGCACTGGCGGCCAGGTGCTTGGGACACATCGTATGTCTCTGTAGTAGCGAGAACAGCAGCGTCCTCTCTGCAGCACTCGAGGTAGGTGGGAAGGGTTGTGAGCAGGTGGTGGAGAGGCATATTGGTACAGCAGGAATTCCAGCCTCTCCACGCTACTGTCCCTTTAGAAATGCCCCTGAGGCCACCAGGTGGGACTGCGGCTCTGCCATCATGTAGAAGGGGACAACCCAGCATCCTGGCGTTTTCAATCTTTTTCTATGAGGGCAGAAAGGGGCCGAGAGAGACTCGAGGAAGCATTTCCCTTGGGCTGAGGAGAAGGAGTGTTGTGTATGGCACCCACAAGTCCCCACTGTGGAACTCTAGTCCCGGAGGGTCATGTCAGCAAGACTGACCTTGGCAAAACACATGGTAAAGCAACCAAGGCTTAACCCCTACTCACACCCCGAATAAATGCATAGATTATCCAAAATTTCCCACTGATAGCATGATCCTCGTCTACTATTATATTCCAGTGTAATTCTGAGAAAGAGAGAAAGAGAGAGAGAGAGAGAGAGAGAGAGAGAGAGAGAGAGAGAGAGAGAAACATGAATGTGAGAGAGAAACATCAGTCAGCTGCCTCCTGTACACATCCTGACCGGAGATCGAACCTGTAACCTTTCAGTGTACGGGAAGATGCTCAAACCAACTGAGCCATGGGCCAGGGCAATAGACCCTTATTCTTGACTGTGGGGGGGATGAGGAAGGAGCAGTCAGTACTAGTCAGAGCCAAATGATGTTCCCTCTCACACAAGACTCGCCTGTCCTGGGCTGACTGACACAGGCACCTGGGCATCCGCAAGCAGCTGTGGCGGCTGCCCAGGCCCCAACCGTCATTTCTGTACTGCCATGCTGTCAGTGGGCACGTGGACGGCTGTGGACACTGGGCTCTGTCATGGAGAGCCCTGATTTATTTCATGTGGGCTCTTTAAATAGGGTGACTGCTCTGTGTCAGCAGACAAAAGCCCAGTTCCTCCTAGACTGTAGAGACAAATTCCCAGTTCCGTTTATTTCTGCTTTTATTTCAGTTAAAACCCCAGAGAAACAATCCCCTCCCATAGGTTCTTCCCATATATCCTGAGACACAAAGGGACAAAAAAAAAACCAACCAAACCGGCAGTTCCCGGGGAAATTATTTTCTCTCCCTCTTTCCTTCTCTTTCCCTCTAAAGATAAATAAATAAAATATTTAAAAAAAAAAAAAAAACCAACCAAACAAACCCCAAAACAACAACAATCCAGAAATAAAATTTCCTCCCAGGCTTAAAGAGGCACTCCAGTCTCATCAAGGTCTGTGCTATAGCTGAGGCTGAGTCCTGTGTGTGTGGCAGAATCTTCTCCTTTAGACCGGGGTTCCATCAGGTGATATTACCACACACATTTCTGATACTGACAAGTAAAAGTCTGCTTCCTTTAGAAGCTACCAGTTTGTAGAAGAGTGCCAGGATGGCAGAACACGGTGACATCCAAGGGCAGGAAGGAATGTGGGGGCAGAAGAAAGATGTACAAAGAGAGGCAAGGAAAATGCAGAGTCACATAGGAAGGCTGGAAGTGCTCTCTAGTTTGCTGCAGCACATTACCTGTGGGGCCTGGGGGGCCTGGCTGGCCCGGCAATCCCTTGGGCCCTCCAATGCAACCTGGGAAGAGAGAGAAAAAGATGGCAGGGGGGCATCTTTAATGCCAAGTCTCATGGCTTTGCAATATTGCTAAGATCAAGAGCCACAGGCCTGAAAACTGGCTACCGTTTTTATAATCAGAGCAATTGAATGAGTTAATTAATATCGATCTGGTGTAAATAAAGGTTTAATTTTATCACATAATGAAATTAGAATATTAATATAAAATGCAAGAAATGTAAGGTCAGTCAAATAAAAACTGGCACTTTGCTGGCAACCCCCCCCCCCCCCTTAGGGCAACACCTCAGCACTGCTGAATTAATCTCACTCCTCCCCAGTGAATCAATGCCAATGCCTTTTTTTGTCTGGAAATATCCACCAGTGGGTGAAGGCCACTTGTGATTTCAAAAGCAGTTCTTTGATTCCTCCTTTGTGACTGAATGGTTTCAGAATTAGCCCCAGCAATAACTGCTTTGAGGCATGTAAAATGAAAACTGAGTGGGAGCCGCTTCTGGCCTGTGTGGCCAGGGCAGTGACATGACGCAGGGGTGTTTTGTTGTCTGGCCTTTGTCTTCCAAGCGTCCTTCATCTGTGTGGCTGGGATGTGGCCAGGCTCCTAACCTGATAGAGGCTTCAGCCTCCTCTGCTACACTGGGGACCAAGGGTGTACAACCTGGCCAGCCCAGGTCAGAAAAGGAAAGGGACCCTCTGTCTTTGGAGGGCCCAGCCTCCAGCCTGCAGAGCCTTGCACTCAGGGGTCTTCCCGTATCGGAATCACTGGCCATCAGCTTTCTCTGAAAGCTTTGGGGTCTGCCATTCCTGCTCTGCACTTTTGCTCTGAGTGTCAGGTCTATTCCCACATCTCAGCCTGACCTCAACCTCAACCTCATACAGGAGATCCACAAATTCTGATGCTAATTCTCCAACCCTGACGTTCAAGGAGGCTTTGCTCTCCAATGCTGGCCAGGTCAACCTCTGGACAGTCTCCCTCTCTTCTCTCCCACTGCTAAGCTCTGTCTCAGAGTCATTTCTGTATCCTGTCCCTGTCTGTCAGCCCTTCTTCTTTCTAGCATTCATTTATCACCAGTCTAAATTGTGCTCTCCTGACATTACCTGGATTGGCTCTTCACTCTGTGTAACAAGCAAATAATCCACAGTTGCCTTTTACACATGTGTAGACAGAAAGCTGAATACATATATGCATGTAATTTAGGTGTAAAAACATACCTGTTGAATTCTTACCAATGCTGTAAATTGATGCTTCATACTGGTGGGAAGATGTGGTAACACTACATGCTATCATACTTGCCTATTCTTTGATTCTAATCTGAATCAGACAGGGCGCCAGCTCCAAGTTTTGCATGTATTTATATTTCTTACTGCAGCTCCATGCTCACTGCAGGAGCTCACGGGAGTTGTTGACGAGCCACACATTTTATAAACCCAAAGTTTTAATGGGCTCTAAAGCAGGCTGATCTTCATGACAGTACCTGGCTGGATGACATCCTGTCCATCACCTCCAATGGGTCTTTTCACACCTGTGTCACAATCTGGGAGCAAGACAGGATGACAGAGTGAGGCACTTTTGGAACAACTGACAGTGACTAACTTATCTATGACTGTGTGTGTTGGCGGTGGTGGGAAGGCTGGAGGATGTGAAGGGACTCTGAAGGTCCGCAGCTTCAGCACTAGCGGGAGAGGCCCTGTATTTTCAGCTGGTGAGAGGAGACTGTTGGTGGGTCTGAAAAACCCTGGTGATGCAATATAGCATTTTTATAGGACACCACTGGGAAATTTATACATTGTCAAAAAAGAATAGTGAATATGTGTTGAAGCACTGCACAGTGCCTCATGACTTTGAAAGAGAAGAGAGGATCCCCCGTACCTATTTTTCCTGGAGGGCCTGGGGGGCCCGGAGGTCCGGGGAGGCCTGGGACTCCAGGGACTCCAACATCTCCAGGGAAACCACGCTGGCCTTTGGGACCCGGGAGGCCCAGTCCCGGGGGCCCCCTTTCTCCTGGAACGCCCTTAGTGCCGGGTGCTCCTGGGTAGCCTGCATCCCCTGGGGGTCCTTTGATGCCATCACCCTGGGAGAATATTGAGTTTATTTCTTAAAAGATACATAAACCTCAGAGACAGTCGTATTCCCAGTTCCTTTTCTGTGTTTCCCTGAGTCCAAGGCTTCAGATGGAGAGCAGAAAGTCAGTGGAGATTAATAAGAACCTACAGTCATGATCTAACCAAGTCACAAAAATAAAGGGTAGATTTCATAATAATCATGGGCAATGCAATAGAAGGTAGTTCTGGGAGGCTAACAAGTCTATCTGAATAGTAATTTTTCTCTTTCCGAACCATCAGCACCCATGCATTGATTGGGACCTTCATTCACAGAAAAAATTCTGCTGAAGAACAGTTAGGCACAGGTTTGGATAAATGAGAGTAGTAGTTATTTTTAGCATTTATGGCGTATCTACTCTTCACAAGGGCTAATGTGTGGTTAAAGAAAAGGAAGTCTTTAACTTGGACAAGAAAGAGAAGTGTGCTCGTGAGGAGGTGATAAGCAGAGGTGATAGCATCAGGACAGCAGGAAGTGGCGAAGTATTCAGTAATGCCAGGCCCTCTAATGAAACTCCTAAGCAGGTACGGAGAACTAGGGTACGCAGTGGAGTGATCAAAGGGGTGGGGGCTGTGAGAACTGGGGAGTTAGAAGGAATGATGTCTGCCGGTCACAGGCAAATCATGAGCCCAACTTCATGCTCAGTGTGTTTGAATGAGCTGGTACAAGAGCTGTTCAAATAAGTCCCACCCATCTGCCTAAGCTGTGAATGAGACAGGGACATTCAGACAGCAAGGAGGCTTCAGCTTCCAGAAAACAAAATGCTGCTGTCCGCTGAGGTTACCTTTCTCCTTCATTTACAAAGGCAAGAGGAATAGTGGGACAATCACTGACCAAGGGTCAAGCCCTCTCTATTTGCATGGTCCTGATTAAACCATGCGACCTCTTGTGTTTTGGCTCCTTTAAGATGCAATTAATGATAAAGGGAGTACTTTCCATTTCCCAAAGCTGTTGCAGAGGTCAAATGGTAGATTGACCGAATTTAGTGGATAATAATGACGATCACTGGGGTGCTCACAGAGGTTCTCAAGGCAGATGTTTATGTTCTTAGCTTAGAAATGCCGGCAATCAAGGACTGACAAAAGCCAACAGACTGAAAATCAGAAGTGGTGGGTTTGATAGCAGAAAGAAAACAGCAGGCCCGGACAGCCAGGAGCTGGGCTGGGGGCCAGGGGCCAGCCCTAGGTGTTGCTGGAGCTGCCTGCCCTCACAGCCGTGGCGAGTGTGCTACTGAACACCAGTAATTCACACACCACATCAGGTCAGCCACTGTCATGAATCAAGACACACACTCCTTCGTACATGTGCACACCACACACAGGGAGACCACACACATATGCACACACATGCCACACACACAAAGACCACTCCATAATCATATCTGAACAGGCAAAACATGAACACCGTTCAAACCACCAACATGCCCCACTGTCCTCTTCACCGATCATTGCTCTGGACTCTCTGTTTTTCCCTCTTGACTCTCAGATAAGGCTTATTGAGCTACATGATCATAGCATTATCTGTGGTTTTGAAAGCATTGCTCTCAGAGCAGAGCCACTTCTCCAACCCTCCCCAAGGCCACCAACACAGCTGAAGTCCTGTGATCCTGGACTCCGACTCAGACTCAGTGCTTGACAGGTCAGGTCACTTCTCGTCATTTCCTCATTTGCTAAGTGGCTTCTACGCTTCGTCTCAGTCATGTGGTAGTGCAACTGGGCAACACAAGTTCTCTTTGGAAAATAATTTTTGAAGGGATAACTAAAACAGCAATACTAGATTATTAATAATCCAGGTGTTTTCAAAGAGCCCAAGGAAACTGCACTGGAAACATTACCTGTATTATAGAAGAAATGACCCACGTTAGGAAAGAGAGGGCCCTGGTTTGGGAATGAGGCAAGTGAGCCAGCACAGAGAATGTAGGTGCGAAGCTCTGAGAAGGAAGAGAGCTGCGGGTTGAACTGTGACCCCTGCAGGTGCTTCTGTCATATAAGCTGCCCAGTCTGTGGGGCTTTGTTGTGGCAGCCACATGAGGTGAATTCAAGGATGTTAGAAGTGGGGCGTGTAGGCTTGAGAGCCGTAGGAAAGAAACTGGAATCTAGGAAAAAAGAACTGAGAAGTCACATGGCAGAATCAGGAGAAAACTCCAGAACTGTCCATGGGCAAGGCCAGACAGCAGGGCTTGGGTGGGGGAGGAGGAGGGTGAGCAGGGCGGAGCCCTCCCCCGGCTGGTCTCCACTGTCTCCTTTTCCGTCCTCAGCCTGGCTGAGAAAGGCGGCCAGGACGCTGCACTTTGTGAGACATCCTCTCTTTCAATGCTGGTGTGTGTGTGTTGCCAGAGCAAATAGTGTATTTCATAACTTATTCTAGAAAAATGGTGTTCCATCATCTATTTAAGAACACTTGATTTGGGGAGGGTAGTGTTTCATTCTATGTTACACCAGGAAGAATATTTGTTCTCTCTTTGACTTTTAAATATTCACTCTGGGCTTGGCTTCCCACCTAACTCACTACGTCCTGAAAAACACAATTTCTGCTCATTACAATAGAATAGATAGCATGGGGTGGAATTAGGGGGGTGCCAGCACCATTCACCTCAAGGTGTTTAAGAACGTGACTGATGGGGTGAGGGCTGAGCTGGTCCCACCCTTGTGGCTACTCACAGGAGGGCCTGGAAAGCCTGGGAATCCGTCGAGCCCGTCACGCCCCGGAATGCCGTCGCCACCTTTTATCCCAGGCACACCTGGGATACCTGGTTGTCCCTTCTCACCTGGGAAAGAATTTGCAGTGTGACTTTACTCGTACTGCCACAGAAGGATAAGTAGTGCAAGCAATGCTTGGCCACAGAAGACTGACCTTTGGTAGTAATTGTTCTAGAATCTCCCTTTATTCCTTTGGGTCCAGGAGGTCCGAAGTCACCAGGGGGTCCCTGTGAAAACAGACACAAAATGTCTTCCTCCTTCATACTGTTCAAGCAGGTCTGTGAAGATGATGGTTTCCTGTTCATACAGCTTGAGGGCCATTACCTGTCATCAGCCCAGCACTGTCCAAGAGAACTTTCTGCCATGTTAGATGTGCTCTATACCTGGCTGTCCAGTCTGTGGCCTCCAATCACAAATGGCTATTGAACACTTGAAAGTGGCCAGTGGGACTGAAGAGCTGAATGTTTAAGTTTAAGTAATTGCCAATTAATGGCAGCAGCCACATGCGGTGGACAGTGGAACTCAGGACCTTGCTACTCGGAGTTTGGCCATGGACCAGCAGCAGGAGCCTTCCCTGGGAGCTTGTTAGGAACGTAGAACCTCAGGCCCACGGGCAACTGAAGCGGGATCTGTATTTCAGCAAAGTCCCAGGGATTCACACAGTTGTGAACTGGCGTGAAGCAATGATCCACAACACAAGGGGGCTCACTCTTAAGTGCAATTATTCAGAATTTGAGCAGATAATAAGCCTCCCAGTATAAGAGATGGAAGTGTGTGACCATTGCTATTGAGAACAACACAGAATACTAGAAATGAAAATTAATGTTGGGAGAAAACATACTTTAGAGATGGCTTATTGCAGGATCACTCATGTTTCAGGCCACAAAACCTGGATTTCCCAGTGAGCTGCTTTATGGTTCAGGATGCAGATTCATATATGTGATACGCTAGTTTTTGGCAAATCTTGGTTGATCTTATTTGCAAGATTATGGGAGTTTTAGTGTAGGTTTAATTAAGTAGAACGTTACAAGTGATTAACGAGTTCCTTTCTCCTAGATAAAATTCCACCGATACTTGGTTGATTAATTGAATTCTGTGCAGAAAAGAATGCTGTGCTATTGGGGCCCAGACAGTGTCTCACATGCAGACGCTGCTCACTAAGTACTGGTAGGTGTCAGGCACACGCCTGGAAGGGTGAATTCATTTGTTGACCAATTATTCCTATACTTCCAACACTCTGCCAGGCTCTATCAGTGCGAATATTTAGTAACGAGAAACCACCTTCGTCCTTCCTACTGCTGTGGGGTCGGCAGACATCTAAACATGTAATTAAATAAATGCAAGACAGCAAACGCACTCCAGAGGTGTTTGAACACAAGCACTGTGGGCACGTGCGCAACACAGTTGGGCAAAGTCTGCCGTGCGAAGAGCTCAGCCACTCCAGATGCACAAAGTGGGACCCATTGGGCTTCTAGGAAATATTCAATCATTTTAGAAAGATTCCAAGATTTTACTGGTTTTGCCATTAGGTTTGCAATGCTCACAACACAACCTTTTTTAAAGGAATAGATAGCCATGGTTTGGGGATGGCAATATTTTTAAATCAGGACAAAGCACAGCATCTGCTAATTGTATTTGGATGTAACTATTTGTTTTCTGAGAAGCCCTGGGGCCTGGAGCAGAGAGGTGCCGTGGGTCTCACTTCCCCCTTGAAACAGCAGCGACCACCTCCTGCCGCGGCAGCTCTGGGGGGCTGCAGGCCTTGTACCGCGGTGTGCATCCAGACCATGCTCCCTGTCCAGGGCCAACTGGCCTCAGCAAGCTTTCCTCTGTTGCTAAGTATACAACATGATGGACTTTTCACTTTATAAAGAGAGGGAGCCCGGGGGAGCCCGGTTCTCATTTTAAGTATGAAAAGTGGCATTTCTTTGCCTTCATTTAAAATTTGGTTTGAAATTGCTAGTGAAAACCTGCCACAGAAGAAAGAGCTGCTCCAGATGATTGCTTTCATTAGGTGGGAAACACAGTCCACTTAGCCGATGTACACAGGGAGTCTGTGGGCAGGACACTTCCCACACTATGAAGTGGCCTGTCCACGGTTCACCGGCAGGTCTCAGTTTCATTGGGTTATGGGAGCCTTCATGAAAGGCTAAACCGGCTCTATACCACATTTGAAGAGGTAAATGCTTAATAAGTAAGATGCTTTACATTCAAAATGCTAGCAACTTTTCTTTGGAGGCTGTAATTCTTACACCATAAAATTCACCATGTTAAAGCATACGATTCAGTGGTCTTTAGTGTTTTTTACAAGGTTGTGCAACCATCATTATCTAATTTCAGAATATTGTCATTATCCCCAAAAGAGTCCCCCTGTGCCTTATACAGTCAGTCCCACTCTCTGCTCTACACCCCCATCCTCCTTGGCAATGGTTGATCTTCTTGTTATTTTCAGATTTGCTTGTTCTGAATACCTCACACGGATAGAAGCACAATATCTGTTCTTTTGTGTCTATTTTATTTCACTAAGCATAATGTTTTTGGGGCTTGTCCACACTGTAACATGTGTCAACACTTCACTCCTTTGGGTGGCTGAGGGCTATCCCATTGTACGGGTATGCTCTGTCTTATTTATCCACTCATTGGCTGATGGACCATTGGCTGATGGACATTGGAGTTGCTCCCACTTTTGGCGATTATTATTAATACTGCTATGAGTACTTACATACAAGTGTTTATGTGGGGGTTCTGGCCAAGACGGAGGCGTAGATAGAAACCCTTTGCTTCCTTGCACAACAAGTGTTTACGTGGACGTGTGTTTCAGTCTCTTGGGTCTATACCTGGGAGTGAAATTTCTGGATCCTAGAGTAATTCTATGATTGACTTTTTGAGGAATTTTGCACAGTGGCTGAACCACTGGGTGCCTGAAGTATTGGTCTAAAGCAGTGTTAATTCAATAAATAAAAGCCTGGAGAGCAGAGGTGGGTATTAAGGATGTCTCATCCACTCTGTAATAGAATTTGTCTCTCACCTTGAGCCCTTGGAACCCAGGTGTGCCGTGATGGCCAGGGTCTCCTTGGAACCCTTTCCTCCCTGGCTCCCCATGGGTGCCTGGGAAGCCCCTGGGTCCAGGTGGTCCTGGAAGACCCCTGATGAACTGATCATCGGCACATTTACAGTCCCCATAATCACCTGCAAAGTGAGGGAGAGGAAGGACTAGTTATTTATTCACAAAGTACGGTCTTGGGAATAGGCACATAAGCATGGTGAAGGGTGGGGCTGGGGGTGAGGGGAGGACCGAGGTAGCAGAGATACCAACTACTCTGCTCTTCACACTCATGTGTGCGGTGGGAACGCTTACCCCCATTTCCTAGATGAGGAGTGTGAGTTACTTAAGTGTGCAGTCATGGGCTCCTCTAGATGCAGAGTTCCAATGCAATGCTTACTAAGGATACTTAACCAATGGGAACATTTACAGAGGTATGTACGGAGTAGAGGAATCAGTGATGGGGCCTCAGGGATGAGGGAAGAGACAGTGTTCCAGGGTCCAGGTGAAGGGAAAGCCATGGGCTTAGAGGCCAAGGTCATGGGTAGGCAGGGAAAAAATGTGCCTCCTCTCCACTGCTCTCTTGCCATGACGAAATTCAGGGAGCCTGGTGCTGGTGGTAGGGTTGGCTTCTCAGGGGAGAGGGGGCCAGTGGGGAAATGACGACAGAGGAGGCTCAGTGGGGCTGAGTTGCACAGCTCGTCCACAGATGTCAGATCCCTGCAGTCACCTCTATCCACAGTGGGGCATGCACTCGTACACTCCACATGTACCGCAAAGGTCCAGATGTAGTTAAAGCGCGAACATGCGGCCCACGCCCAGGAATGGGAGAGCTGAGCAGGCATTACCGCAGTCCCTGACAGCCTCACAGGGAAGGGGCCACCTGGGCCAGCCCTTTCTTGGACAGGGTACTGAGCTAGGGGCAGTGTCCCTGAGATGCTGGGCAGGTCTCATCACTGCTCTGAGACTTGGACTCCTCACCAGTTAGCTAATCCCTAACTCAGGGAATCCCCCTTCGGATCCAACTAGATGATTTCTCTATAAGCACTCTGCAGTGGGCAGGTGCTTTGCAAATAAATACGTGTTACATTGCCTGGGAGCTGAGCACTTAGCTCTGAAGTCAGCCTAAGAAATCAATGCTCATCTTTTTTGCCCAGTACTGGGCTCCGCACTCCCTGAAAATTCAGAGATGATGTTGGCAAATAGAGAACAGAGAAGGGTGAGTAAATGATTGCTGGGTGTGCCAAAAATGTGGCAGACATCACCTTAATTGCAGTGAAGTTTCCATGAAAAAAAAAGGACACCCAGTGGGGAACTAGGGTATTGTGTTCATTTCAGAATGAGTGGGAAGGGTGAAGTGTACTCAGATGGGCCAAGTCATCTCCCCGCCCCTTCTCTGTTGTTCCCAGACGCCCCTTACCTTTCCATCCTTTCTGTCCTCGAGCCCCAGGGAAACCTGGAGCCCCAGGAAGGCCCTCCTGTCCTGGTGTTCCTTTAAGGCCAAAAAGGAAACCTAAGGAGAAAATCCACAGAGAGCACATTAGCAGAGCCCAGGGGACCCCACGTGTTGCTGAACCCCGAACCGGAAGGTTTTCCACCAGGTCTCCCAACAGAGACTAACGAAGTCCCACACTCTCTAATTCCACTCCCAAACTCCCCATCAGAAAGAAATGCATACTGTTTTCAGGGATGGATAGAAATGTGAGAGCCTATGAATTAATTTTTTTCTATTAAAGTCTAAAGATAAAAAACTTTTGTCTTGAGAAATGAGTCCAAAGCAAGGTTTTGATTTTTCAACTATATATTGGGTTGGCCAAAAAGTTTGTTTGGTTTGTTTTTTCCTGTAAGGTATCTCTAGTAGTGCTTAGTTGTCTTTAACTTCATTTAAAACAATTTTGTTAGATTGTATTGTGACAGCTGTCATGTAAGCATGCATTAAAAAACATAAAAATTGGTGAATTTTTGTGTAGCCATTTTAATATTGAAGATGGAAGAAAGTAAGTGGATTTTCAGCATATTATGCTTTATTATATCGAGAAAGGTAAAAACAACTGAAATGCAAAAAAAAAAAAAGATTTGTGCAGTGTATGGAGAAGATGCTGTGACTCACTGAATGTATGAAACGTGGTTTGTGAAATTTTGTGCTGGAAATCTCTCGCTGGACAATGCTCCACGGTCAGGTGAATCAGCTGAAGTTGACAGCCATCAAATTGAGACATTAATTGAGAACAATCAAAGTTATACCACATAGGAGATAGCCACCATACTCAAAATATCCAAATCAATAAGGTTATTGGTGAAAATGAAAAGTGTATCTTTTATTTTACGGAAAAAAATACAGAGTTCTTGGCCAACCCAATATTTTGCAATTCCAAGACTACCAAAAGACTTCTGGTTTTCCAAAAGACAATAAATATCAAAATTAATTTTGATATTTGCCCTGGCTGGTGTGGCTCAGTGCATTGAGCACCAGCCTGCGAACTGAAAGGTCTCTGGTTCAGTCCCCTGTCAGGACACATGCCTGGGTTGGGGCTGGGTCCCCCACTGGGGGCATACAAGAGGCAGCCGATTGATTTTTCTCTCCCCCTCTTTCTCCCTCCCTTCCCCTCTCTCTAAAAAAAAAATAACATCTTTAGAAAGTAAGTAAAAACATAAAAAATTAAGCATTTATTTAAAAAAATCAGTTCCCTATTCTGTCCTCTCCTGGGCACGGGTTCTCACTTGAACATACTTCTCTCCCCATATACACACCACACACACACTCCCTCCTCTTTTACTATTCGGGGTGCACACAAGTACACACATGTACACATGGAGTTTGTGTAATTAATGTAGATAACTGTGAACCATCTGGATTCAGTGTGGTAACTGGGATCAGGGTACTTCTGACCCACCATCTGCAGAGCTCCAATAATTCCAAGCAGGGATATCTGGGCAAAGGTGTTAAGAAATACAAACTAAAAGCCCTGGCTGGTGTAGTTCAGTGGATTGAGCATGGGCCTGTGAACCAAAAGATTGCAGTTCGATTCCCCATCAGGGCACATGCCTGGGTCAGTTCCCAGCAGGGATGCACCAGAAGCAACCATACATTGATATTTCTCTCCTTCTCTCTTTCCCTTCCCTTCTAAAGATAAATAAAAAAAAAAAAAGAAATACAAACTAAAAGCCAATAAAATTCCCCAGGTCACATTTGAGAGGAGCGCCACCGTGTGGTGGGACTGGGGCTTCACATGCCCAGGAAACATTGCTGAGCATGGAGTCTCCCTGACTCCTTCTGTTCTCACCATTGCTAAACCCTACAGTGCTCATAGCTCCAAAGATCCAATAAAACTCCTCCAACAAATTAAAATACATGCTGCCATACCCACCTTTTGGTAACTGAGAGGAGAGAATGAGGCGATTATGGAAGCAGAAAGGAAAGGAAAACACCAATTTAAAGAACTTCTGCTAACTGTTTGAAAAAATGATACCGGAATTTCAATATCAGAAAGCTTCAAGGTAACTAAAAGTTTATGGAAAGGAGGCAATGGCTATTGTTCCATGTAATCTGACCTCACTACACATTTAATATAAGCTCATCAGTCCACCTATCCATTCATCCATTAAACACTTCTCCGGTGCCTACACCGTGCCCAGCAGTGCGCTAGAAGCTGCGTATACAGTCAGAACAAAACTGACAGGACCTCATGGAACTTCCTGTTTAGATGTGGAGGTACACACACACCAGACACACCGTGGTCCGTAGAACAACACAGAATTTCAAATTATGGCCCGTGCTGTGAGAAGCTCAGAGAAAGTAATAGGGAGAGTCGGCAATAGGAAAGTCACTCCTGAGAACTTGACACTTAAGACCTACAGAATAAAAGCCAGCCAGCCAAGAGCGGGTGGGAGGGAATGTTTCCAGGAGAATATAAGCTCGTCTAAAAGCCCCCGAGGTGGAAGGCAAAGTTACTGGGGGGCGATGCGTGAGGAGCAGAATTGCAGAAAGGGAGGTGAAGACCATGCCAGCCTAGTGGGCAGAGAAATGGGGTTTGGATTTTATCCCAAGAGCAACAGGAAGTCCTTAAAGGGTTTTCAAGAGGAAAAGTTACCCAACCTAATCTACATGTAAAAGGGATACCAGAAAGAGGGGGAATGGAAGCTGGTCACGAGTGGGTTGGTTATTCTGGCCAACTAAGCATAATACTGCGGTGGCTTTGATGATGGAGGTAGTGAAATGATGGGCTGATTCAAGATTTGAGAGGCAGAATCACTAGGACTCGGTGATGGATTTGTAGTGTGGGTGAGCGAGATGCTAGTGACCCCCAGGGCTCTGGCCTGAGCTCCTGGGTCTGCAGAGATGGGAGAGGCCCAGGACAGGGACGTGTGGGTAGGGGAGATGGGGAGCAGAGGATCCAGAGTTCTGCTCTGGGCACACGAAGTTGGAGACGTCTGTGATACACACATTGGTGACTATGTGATGAGTTAACAGTTTGTACGAATTTGGAGCTCAGAACATGCAACTGGGCTAGAGACACAATGAAGGAGTGGGGGCATTGAACTTGTACTTCAATTCATGTGAATGGGTAATTCACTTAGGTAGAGAGTACAGAGAGAAAAAGGGGTCCGAGAATGAATTTCGAGGAACTCCATCATCTCCTGGATGGATGGGTAGAGGGGGAAACAGAGGAGCAGCAAACTGTACTCAAAAAAAAAGGTCACTGGGATAATGGTAGGGAAGACAGTGGGGCAGCATCGTGGAAGGCCAGAGAAGGCAGTGTGTGAAGTGCGGGGTGTCATCCTTCTTGTTGTCAACTCTTGCCACCTGTTCAGTTGTAGCTTTTGTTCTGTGTGGGCCGGGAAGACAAGATTATCGAGTCTGCTGAAATGTGTTGATTAAAGAGCAGAGAAAGGCTGCAAGTCAAGAAGTGAGGCCTCCACCCTGGAAGAAGGTGTCTGGAACTTGTCGCCCCGTGGCTTTCTGTCCTCATCTGCTTCCAGACTGCACCTCTCCAGGGTTCCACTGAAGGACGGATTGTGCTGGGGCCACTGTCAGGCAACCCTTACTGTGTAATACCCACGGGACTGTTGCTACTCAACAGGTTGAGAAGGTTTTGCCCTTCTTCCACCAGCGGCTTTTCCTATTCACACCACAGAGCACCTGCGATGCCCTCATCAGCTGCCTACTGCATGGGTTCACCACATCGGTTAGCAGAAAGCCCAGGTGAAAATACGGCTGTGGCCACGCAGCCTCCTTTGAGTTTCTGTCCACTTACCATCTGGTCCCCGTGGTCCCGCAGGCCCTTGGAGTCCTGGAGGTCCTGCCCTCCCTTCAAGTCCTGGTGAACCGGGGTAGAGCGCAGGGATGCCTGGTTCTCCTATGAAGCCTTTGGGTCCCATTTCACCTGGGGCGCCTCTCCGCCCACCTGAAAATCCAACAGCAATCGGGAGCAGTGTGAAACTTGTGCTATTTAACAGCCGCGCTGGCATTCCCACACATGAGAACCCTCCAGCAGGACTAGGAAATTTACAGTCCATGCAGTAACTTAAGGGGTGGATGCCAGTGGTATATTCCATTTCCATCTTTCAACCTCAAAAAAGCTCCTCTTCCTGCCTCCAAACAGTGGCCTCAGGGTTGCTACCAACACGTGGCAGCAACGTTTGTTGATTGCCTGTGCTCCCCCCAGCCTGTTGACAGAATCCTGCTAGTCACTCATCAGCGGCACAGTGTAACCTAGTGGGAGAATTACTGTCACAGGTTCAGTTGTCCTGTGACAACAACCAACCATGGCTGTGAGACCCATTACAGCTGCTGAGCCCCGTCTACGGGGAAGAGCACCAGCACTGACAAAGCTGTGCAGCTGGTGAGGGTCCCAAGGGGACGCACTTTCGGTCACAGTTTAGTTGCCATGGAACCACATTACCTTCACTTATGCTGGACGTGCCGGGGAAGCCTACTGGGCCAGGGTCCCCTGGCAGACCCCGTGTTCCTGGCTCCCCATAGGCCCCTGGAAATCCCGGGTCACCTCTGCCACCTGGAACGAGACAGTCCCCACAGTAAGAATAGGGCTGTTGTCTGGGACTCACGACAGATACTCACCTTTTCACTGAATGCATATTGACCAATACCCTGCACGTTGTGTGAGGCACGACAGGGGGCCAAGTGTTTAATACATGATGGCCCCTGTTTTCAGGGAGCTCATTCCCAATCAAAGAGGGAGACAAGATTCCTATAAATATCATAAAACAGACAGGCACATAATACCAAAAGGGTACAGAGTGGGTCAAAGGAGGGGAAGATTATTTTGGGGGGTAAATCTGATTTTGAGGGATCGTGGAGGATAAAAACAATAGAATTAGATTTTCGAGCTATTGCTATGCACACTAGGCTCAGCACGAAATGCTTGGCATACATTTGATCCCCATAAAGCCATGCGGCACGGAGACTGCCACAGCCCCGATTTTGCAGAGAGGGGAAGCACTGTGCTCATGGGCATTCACGTCTCCTAGAGCAGGTCACTTGACAGTTGAGTTCTGGGCAGGGGTGAAGTGTGAGGAGACGGGGAACAAGTCCAGGCTGAAAGCACAGAGCTGGTGGAACGTCGGGTTGGGTGGGTTGAGTCTGACGTGAGACCAGTGAAAGAAATGATGGTATAATCAATAAAAAAGTTAAAAAAAAAATGATGTGATTAGGAATCCTCCCACGCGAGAGGCAATGTGCTTCTCTTCCCCTGTGCACCAGCTCCTGCCTGGATTGGCTTTTTGTACCTCTTTGCTGGATAAATAACAGACGAATGCTTTTATAAGCTTTATCCATAAATAAACATAAAGTGGCATCGCTAAGTTCTTTGGCATGTTGAATAAAGACACACCAAAGTAGTCATTAAACTGACACATGGGTCACATCTAAGCAGGCCAGTGAGTCCTTGACCCCTGGGCGTATATGATATGATAGGGGTGAGCCAGATGATCTACTGGGTGTAGGAAAGAAGGATCACAGCATTTTTATTTAAAAAATCCTATCCTTTAAAATATGTACCTGATGTGTAAATTTTAGCATGCATGTCGCTCAGTCATTCAGATAATTATTTACTGAGCACCTACTACTTGCCTGGGTCTGTTCTAGAAACTGTGGATACAGTAGTGAACCACACGGGCTAATCCCTGCATCCATGAAAACTCCTATAACATGGGCAAGTGATCCATCCATAAATATATGTACGATTATTTGAAGGAATGCTCAAAACATTTTTCAAAAACATTATTTAGAAGGTTGTACATTCAAAACTGTTGCTCTTACTATAGAATTTGAATATTTCAGTACAATTTTACCAACTTGGAGGCTGAGCTAAGATAACAAGATAAGCATGAGCCACAACACACACAAAATCCTTCATTTACACACACAGGTCAACTGGGACAGTGAAGCATCTGCCTAGGTGGTTGTTCACGCACACATATCTGGGGAGTTAGCTCCTTGAAGTCTGAAAGGACGAGACTGTCTCCAAGGTCAGAACATGTGGTCAGTACTGGGTTTCAGACCGTTGAGCAGAAGGGTAGCTCGTATGTGCCTTGGTAGCTTTGGAGTAGAGACTTGGGAAGGTGGTTGGGCCAGCCGCCATGGAGGCCTGAGGTGCAGAAGGACTGGATTTCTTCGGTGAGACCGCAGATGGCGAAGCCAGAGCCTGCACGAGGTGTGCAGCACTGGAAGAATTTCCCAACAGAGGGTCTCACCAGGAAAGTGGGGGGCACTCTCTCAGGCCTCAGTCGAAGGGGGCTCTCCTGGGATACCACACTGAAGCCATGAGGGAAGGTGCACACAGAACAGATTCTACAAAGCTGTGGCCTGAGCATCTTGTGTTTTACTTAGATAAATCTTTCTTGAAAGTTCATGACCCTGCGTCCCTAACAGAAGAGAATGGACACTCTCATGAAAGAGAAGTTGCATACAAACCTTTAGCCAGGGAAGGATGGGGGAAGGGGACAGGTGGGCCTGGGAGGCCTCGGTCACCCACTTCTCCCTGGAGGAAAAAGAGAGGAAAACAGAGGAATGTGAGACCAGCCTTTTGGAGTCTGGGACTCTTCTGAGTAATCGACTACAGACTCTGCCTGGGGATCCATGTCCATTATTCTGAGGCACTAAGTCCAGGCATCCCAGACACACCGAGAGACAACCACGTGGGCTGTGCCAATGTCACTTTGAAATCCTCCTCGGATACTAGACCCAGTCAGGAGGCTGCTTTCTGCAGGGCTGGCTACTTCGTTGTCGAGAATGGTATCCGAGTCGGCCTGCAGGGTGAGCTGGGGGTGACTCAACAGCATCCTGACACAATGCCTTCTGGGTTGTAAGAGCTAGCGACTGAGCCTCACTGGGCCCCACAGGCCTGCCAGTCCCTGTCCTCACCAGACATGGCCCCATCGAGCAGGAAAGGCTCCTTCTTTGGTTAGTGCTCCCATCAGCTAGTGTAGCTGGACCTTACCTGGTCCTCAGCTGACTGAGTTTCACTGCCCTGCCAGCCCATGCAAGATCTAAACACGTCGGTCATATTCTCCCTTGGGAACCAGGGGTGCCCCATCCTCTTGTTACTGCAAAGCCCCTCCCACAGCCTTGCTAGTTCACTCTGGCCCAGGTGTGGCCTCCGCCTGAGTGGCCTATAGCATCATGAGGCTGGGATATACATGACTAACAAATGAACATCCATCTCACCTCCCCACCGCTTGGTGTTGTGTGTCCGGGTATCTATTCTCAGATAGGACAGACGCCACCTCCCTGTCCAACATGGGCAGTAGGAGGCCATTAGAACACCACCCAAAGAGAGCAACTGGAAACCAAGCTCACCTTGGGTCCTCGGGGCCCATCAGGGCCTGGGTAGCCATCCAGTCCTCTGCTTCCCTGCAGGAAAGATGTTTGGTGCTTATTCTTATCTCTGTAATTTGAAGGACTGACCAAAAGAACTTTACTATGTCTCATGAAATTAACAATAATTCATTAAAATCACTTCCTACCCAGTCTCTGTTGAATTTTTCCTGATTTTGGTTTTAAAAATGTTTTCTTAAAGTGGCTTTGTTTGAGTCAGGACCCAAAGTCAAAACATGACATTTGGCTGATGTGTCTCTTAATCTTCTCCTAATTCATGATGGTTTCTTCTTCCTTCCTACTTTTTTGGTAACTTTTTGTTGTTGTTATTGAAGAAACCGGGTCATTGGCACTGCAAACAGCCAACGTGGTGGACTGGCCCCACCTCGCCCTTACGGTGTGTAATGTGCTGCTCCTTCCCTTCTACTTCCTCCTAATTGGTTGTTAGATCTAGAGGCTTCTTTAGGTTCAGGGTCACCTTTTGAGCAAGAAGCGTTCACGGAGGCTGCTGTGTCCTTCCTTTCTACTGCGCCCCTTTAGGAGGCACAGAGGCGGAGTCTCAGAGATTTTATAACCAATCAGTGGCGTCAAGTGCCGACAACCTGATGCATCTATCAAAACCTTCCTCCCAGACAGGTTTGGAAAAATTTCCGTTAACACCAAGTAGGAGCATTAAAGCCTCTCTGTTTAGACTTTTTCTTCTTTATTGAAGAAAATCTCTGGTGCTAACTGTTGCTTTCTAATTCCCTCAGCTATGCATCAGAAAAAGCTCTATCATATTGGGCTTTTGTACATATGTAAAGTTTTAAAAATAATCTAGAAACTTATTCCATCTTGCTAAAGAATACATACAGGTGGCCCCCCAAATTTGAATGCCAGCTGCCAGTGGTAAAAAGAAATGGACATTACGTGGTTATTTTACCAGATATTTTGAAATCTAGGGGCATTTAGGCTGAAAGTCATGTGGTTCAGAATGAACTAAGATTGGTGTTTTTCATGGTGGGTCCGTAATTTAGACTGACTTTCTGTTACACTAAGTAAAGCTGGAGATTCCAAAGTGAAGGTACCTTTTTCTGATAGGAAAGATGATCTCCTCTTTATAGGCCACCTCATGAGATGTGTTAGGGATCATTAAAGAGCTTGCCAGTGACGGAGTAGTTGGCAACTAGGCATCCGGTTGAAGTTGTGTCCAGGGCTGACACAACAATCCAGCTCAAAAGTACGCTGGACTTTGTCACATCTACACACCATTCCACCCCACACTGCTCAGCCGTGCTGTGACATCATCAACAAGCAGTAACAAGCACCCCCAGAACTAATTACAGTTCTATTAATCCCTGGAGAAATGAGGGAGGGGTAGCCGATTCTTTGCCCCAGTAGAGAAAGAAAAATCTTTCCCAGAATCTTTTCTTTTTTGGTTTATCCTATTTCGACACATTGTTTATGTTGGTATTCACAGGCTCCTTGGAGCTGCCTTTGATTACTGGTTCCATTTCACAGCCTAAAACTAAAAAGTCTGTAAGTACAACTGAGATGTTAGCTGGGCAGTCATGGCAACTTGGCAAGTAAGATAACACATGGTAGACATGCCTCCGAAGCAGTGTGGCAGTCACAGGCAGGAAAGGTCCGCTGTGTGTGCATATCCTGGGCATTTCCTATGTTTAAAGTCGAGGAAACGACTTCCTCACAGCATCTGAGATGCCCCACTTAATTGGAAGCATCTGTATCTCCCCAGTTGTTGCAAGTGCAGAGAGCAGGCTGCGAAACGTGAGCCCTGGACCCCAACATCTGGGCCACAGCAGCCAGGCGTTCTAGGGGGTCAGTGCCTGGTGAACATCCTGTCCTTCGTTAACTTTTGAGTTCTAGAGAGTGGCTATGTTGAACTGCATTTAAAAAACACTACAATTCCTTAATGTTGGGTGTAGAAAAACAAATCATAATTATGATTGCACTAGCACATGGCGGGCAATCAAAGTACTGACAGTTGTACTTTAATTACATGGAGTGGGTTGAAACAAATTATTTTTAAATGTTAACATTTGCTTTACTCCTGTCACTTTACAGCACTTGCATACTATAATCCTTAAACCAGAAATTGGCCTTTTGGCCTTTAGTTGGGGGTACTGCAGGGACAGCACCTGGCTCCAGGCACACAGCCTTTGGGGGTGCTCCTATCAGTTACTAATGTTCTGAGCGGATGGGTGTAACTAGGGGCCATCCTTGGTTGAGTTTAAGATAAAAGGACAGGAATAGGGAAAATTAGGTCAATTGGGGCTGCAGGAAGGAATCAGAGCTCGTACTCATTGTGGCCCAAACCGGAATACGGAAGCAGGACGCCTGAGTCTAGGGCTGGTGGAGGTCAGAAACAAAATCTGGGAGGTCAAGTCCCCTCTGTAGTTGCAGGGGTACTGACAAGACCCGTTGGTCACTACCAGGGTCCTCATGGCTCTCCAGTCACTCAGTGGAGCCGTGAGCAGCAGTCTGACCTGGAGGCTGAACCAATTATTTATTTATTCATTGTTTTTAAAGTCGGTGGGGTGGGGGGGTGAAGCAGGGGGAGGGAAAGGGGAGAGAGAGAAAGATATCAATTTGTTGTTGTTCCATTTATTTATGCATTCATTGGAAGATTCTTGTATGTGCCCTGACTGGGGATTGACTCTGCAGCTGTGGTGTATCGGAACGATGATCTAACCAGCATCCTGGCCAGAGCTGAATTAATTTTGAAAAAAACATCTATTTCTAGTTACCTATGAGCATTGAATTATGCAAATACTAGCCCAGAGGCATGAAGCTGTGTGTGCCATAATTCTGATTGCATGACTGTTGAACAGAGCAAGCAGCTGGAAACCACTGTGAGGAGCTCATTAAGCAAACATGGTACACCCATTTACTGCACTTCTGTAGCTTATTAGCAGAAGTATGTACGTGTGAACACACTAATGTGGAATAATATCCAAGGCACACTAGATGAAAAAACAAGTGGCAGAATGATACGGATATTTTTATTTTCTGTCGTTAAATTATATGCATGTAAAAAGGCATGTCCTTTGTATACCAGTACTCATCTGGAACAGCACCCACAGAGCTATTACCCGTATCTGTCTCTGGGCAGAATGCTGGGGGTCTGTGACAGGAAGAAGACGTACTGTATATTCTATGATCAAATTAGTGAAAATAATGAATAGTGAAGATAGTAAATAATGAATTAAAATATCTCCTTCTCTGTGTACTCTCTCATATGACCTAGCATTCAGACAATTCTAAGCCTGATCCGGATTCACAGTACATTTCTGATATAATGTTTTCTTCTAAAAAAAATTGCCAAAAATCTGCCTACAGAACGCATGGTAAAAATAACGAGTTGGGTCATCTTTACAGATAAATAAAGTGTGAAAATGTGTGAGGTCAACATGTAAAATGTGTAGGCCAATCCGTGGTCACCACGTTGACAACCTTCCTAAGAGTGACATACAATGACACAGAGGACGAGTGTGAGACTGGAAGGCACGGAGGCCGAGGCTGGTGGGGCTGGGTGAGGGAGCCTGGAGGGAGAGAGCCGAAGGGCTGGTCTGCAAATATGAGAGAAATCTGACTCAAGCATTTCAAATGCTTTGGGACCAAGCCTTACTTATGCTGTGGTAAATGCAGGGAGAATTAATTTTTTTCCTCAGGGCAAATTTTTTTGTTCCTGGAATTCCATAGTCTTTAAGTTTGACCTCTGCAAGAGGCTTCAGGCCTGGAGCAGATGGCATTTATGCACCACACTTACTTTCTGTCCTTTGGCACCTTGTTCACCATCTACACCAGCGTAACCCTGCAGAGAACAGAAAAGAGAAGCAGTAACAGCTTAGAACGTACAGCAACGTTTCCCCGAGGGCATCACCATGGCAGCTGACATGGCCTGAAACATAACACTGCACCATGAAAGTACCGAAACCATCCGAAACTCTCTTTCTTTTCTAAGGGAGATGGCTGATTTCAGTGACACTTTCATATAATACAACATATCATTTAAAGAACTATGGAGAAATTTGTAAAGATGGTATGAATGGTAAAGATAACAAAAGGCCTGCACGCCACGGTTCTCATGAGCCTCTGTTCTTATTTTGGAGCTTGTGACATTTCTTTTTGTGGTGGTGGCTGCCACAAGGCAACTTTCTCTTGGTTTTGGCCACATTTCCCAGCTTCGCTGTGGCTGTGTTTGGCCAGGTGACTGAGTTCTGACTGGTGGAGAGAGGGCTGAAGTGGCAGGTACCATTTCAGGCCACCATCTGGGGCATGGGAGACACAGGTGGCTGCATGCCCTTGGGAGGAGACACTCCTGTGCCACCTCCAACCACCAGGGATATTTTTGTTGGATTCTTAGGGTAGCAAGACTTTCAACACTTCCTGTGTGCCACAATCAGCCTACACTTTTGTTACCACAGATTAATTTAGCCTAACTAATATGAGCAGAAATGTGTTTGTGTTCTGCTCCTACCTTTCTCCGAAAGCACGTACAGTTTTAAAAACCACAGTTATTGGGTGATAACTTGTCAATCTCATCTACTGTAGCCAGCGGCCTACTCTGGTTTGGGGTGTGTGGAGGGGAATGGGAGTATGAGGCAAATAACTCTGCACTTTTGGCTTAACTTTGCTGTGAACCAAAACCTGATCCAAAAACACTAACACTGATTTAAAAATCAAATCGAAACAAAAGAAGCTACAATTATGGAACAGATTTTACCCGGAGTCCTGGAAAGCCCATGATTCCTTCTTCCCCCTTCAAGGAAATGCCCTAGGAGAGAACACAGAGACTTGAGGGAGAGGCCGGTATTTCACACTGCACCTGCTCAGGACTCCGTTTCCCAGCAGCCTGACTGGTGCCAGCCTGCCTCTGGGGTTCCCAGTCCAGCTCAGTGAGATGGCAGATTCACAGGATCTGTGAGTCTGTCTGGGTCACCACATGCCCCGGTGTCACCTGCCATCCCCACACAGCGAGTGACGATTTGGGAGGACAGGGGGTAAATACTGGGGCGGGCATGACAGAGATGAAAGAGAAGGCAGAGACGTCACCAGTTTAAGCCTCCAGAACAGAGGCAGGGCCTGCCCGGCCCCTCTACCCACACATCTGCCCTTTTAAAACATTTAGGTTCATTTTATGAACTTCACAAAATGCAGATTAGCTGGTGGTGTTTACTAGGCAAAAAGGAAGACATTCTCAAACTGTTTTCTGGAAATAAAACCTCATAAAAATCAATGATAATACTTTCTTGCTGTAGACAAATAGGTTGGAAACCTCAAGTCCATGGGCCCCAATGACCCCTGTGCATTCCATCATGGCAACGGGGTCGCCGAGGATCTGGGAACCACCAGTGAGCAGAAACATCTCTGCTGCTTGACTTACCACTCTTCCTGGTTCCCCTGTGCTTCCTTTTTCACCCTGTGAAGAAAACGAAAAATAGGAAATACTCATTAATTCGAGAATAGCAATATTTAAGATTCATCAGGGTTATGATATGAAATGAAAAGTATTTAATAAAACTTTAAACAACCATTATAAATGGAAGAAAGCTGTATTTTTGCAGCTTCAAAATTCAAGGAAAAATGTGTACTATTTCTTCTGGATATTCATAATGTAAATTTAAGTGCATTATTTTTGAGGTGACTTCACGGCTGCCTCTGTGTGGTTGCCTTTATTACTGCACAGCTGCGAGCATATATGCCATGTTGTGCAGGCAGAACATGCCCAGAGAGCCCTGAATTATAATATTCATGTCAATAAAATATTATTAGAAGGATTTTCTGAGGAAAAGGCACATTTGGAATATATTAAGACCCCAAGCAAAAGTGGCTTTGGAAAGAAACGTCAACTCTGTATGATTCAGTTTTTCATTTCTCTTAGTTTAAAATGGGGAAAGAAATGTAGTGACTGGCCCATCCTTGCTCTCCATCACTGCTAAGATAGCACCCAGATCCCTGCAGACCAACACTGCCCCCTGCAGGCTGGTCAGGCCTCAGGCCTGGACCACCTCTCTGAGTGGCAGAAATCTAAGGAAATGTGTTCCGGAAGCTTGAGCATCTCAGCCTGGATTGAACTTGCTCTGGTCTTGCTCCATCCTCAACTGCTGGACAAAGGCCCTACCTGGCTGATGGCCAGGTCACCTTTAGGAGCAAGAAGCCCACTCAGAATCCATCCTGATGACTCAGTGGAGCCCCTGTTCCTGCCCGGTTGTCCAGGGACATCTATCTCGCTTTGTCAGCTGCAGACAACCACCTGCTTCCGACAATTTCCTCTGGCACTTCTGCCTTGCACCAGCCACCTTCCAGGCCACTTTTGTCAATGGTAAGTCACCTATCACTCAGCCCAGCTGCCTGGATTCAGTTCCCCACTACGGCAGTGGTCATGCCTGCCTCTCCCATCTGACCAAGCACCCAGCCCCCATCTTGACAGACACCTGAATGTTGGAAATTATATTCTGTTTGGGGTTTTAATTTTGGTTGATTATGCCCGACTTTATCCTGGGTGTTTCACCTGTGGCTCCCTGTAATCCACTCCGCAGCTCCACAAGGCCAGTCTTACTATCTTCAGTTGGTACAAGGGGACACCAAAGCTTAGGGAGGTGAAGTGGCCCATCTGAATGAGTCAGTGGTAGAGCAGGATGACTTTTATTTGACTCCAAAAGTATGTTTTTAATCAAATGAAATGTTAATAGACATTATAGGGGCCACAAAATCAATTTGGATGAACCCCGCCCCCTGCAATTATTCTTTATGTCAGCAAAGAGTAAAAGCAGGCTTACTTTGCAGACTACAGTGTTTTGTCAGACAGTTCCATATACTGGGTTTGAACTGCACTCTGAACATAACCTGTGTGTCTGTACCAGAGATGCACATGCTTAAGGCTAGATCTGAGATTTAAAACAGTGGATCCTCGTGTTCATTCATCACAATTGTTTAAGATGATGGGCTGATGCAGTTATTTGACTGAAAGAATAGTTGTGCTTTTGTGCACAATTTGATGATGAGGCCTTTTCCTCTTTAAGTGCGACTGTTTGAATAAAATTGAAAAAAATTATCTTTTTTCCTGTGTCTCTCTCTTTTTTTCAGTTCAACTTGGAACACAGTCCATTTTGGTGAAGCCCCATTACCTTGTACAGATGAGGATGGAACACTTCCTTCGTGGGCCCTACGCTCTCACGGTTGTTGTCTGATGGGATCCCATTGGGTCCTGGCTGTCCCATGTCACCCTGTGAATAGTTCAGCAAAGCAGTATAGTCTTTGCACATCGAGAAGACACTACCAACATTTAATTACAGTGTGATCCCACCGCAAACTTCATTTTTGCTCTTTGCATATTGCTTACCCCATGCGCATCAATTTTGTAGCATTATATTTATAACATACAACAAAAACCATAATTCAAAATGAAATAATCATAATTTGTAAAATTATTTGCATTCTACTTGCGTTAATAATTGTGTTTGCATAAAAGCTCGTTAGGTTGTTCATAATTTGGGGCTGCATTTGCTTTTGTAGAATTACTTCTTTATGATATGTTTCTAAACAAGGAAATTATTAGGTCTAAGGGCTAAATGTATTTATAGTTCTTAACAGGTATCACTCTATTGCTTTCTAGGATTGGTACCAAGATATAAGAAATGTCCAAGGAATGAATGACTACTCCAGTTTCACCATGACTTCACCCTTAAGGGTATTGTAACATAATAAAAAGTAGCATCTTTAATCAGTATAACATCTAAAGATTGTTTCAGTTTGTGTTTTTACCATTAGCAAGAATCACTCTTCTATGCGGTACACAGAGGTGAAACCCATAGATCTGCAACTTCACTGGACAACTCTCCTAACATAATACACGCCTGACCTCCTGGGAACTCTGCGACATTAAAAGAAAGTTATTGTGGTTTCTTTGGCTCTTTCCATGTGTAAATTATATAATATCGGTTTGGGCCCAGGCCTCACATCATGTGAACAGGAGGAAATCGAGATGATGTGTTAGCTGCACAAGTGATACTCTGCAGTGCATCCTGAGTGCCTGCTAATATCACACCTAAAAAATACCCAAATGTTTATTCATTTCCTCTTTACCTGTGGTTTTTTTAAATTAACAATTTAGATAAACTTTTTGTAGATTACAGGCATTAACTTCATATCCATTTTATATAACGTGCCTTACCCAATTATTTCTTCCTAGGTTTATGCTCTTTTTATGTTATTTTACTATTTTGTTCTATTTAATTGTACAAGAATTTAAACTTTTATATATTTAGATCTTCCAATATTTTTCTTTTATAGTTTTTTTGGTATGGTATTAACACAAAGAACAAAGTTCTTTCCACACTTCAGGAGAGAAAGCCTAATGTGTTATTCAATCAAAAAGTAAAACAAAATGGAAATGTTCAAATGACACCAAACGAGCCAGTGTTTTGGGATGAATGTGATGGGATTGCGTGTTGCTGGGTTTAGCTCACTGGGTGTGGGTGCCGTATGGAGCTTTTCATGTACACGATCTCAAGCGATCTGCTTAAAGGCTATGTGGTCTTTGAATCCTGGCACTGTGGGCAATTATAAGAGTCCGAGTGATCCTCCTTCCTGCTTTTGAGGAATATGCAAAGAGCAAAAGCATGGCCAACCAGAGCTGGCCATGTTACCTGGCCCCCAAGCTGGCTCCACATTAGTCTGCGGCTCTGGCTTCTGTCTCCTCGGTCACTGCGGATTCCCCAAGTCAGAAAAGGGCTGAAGTCATGTCTAGGGCAGAGGTCCGGGGCCACCCTGGAGGGTGCACTTTTACTGTCTTCTTGCTCCATAACTACCACTGAAGTGTGTTTGATGACTTGGCACTTTATTATAATAATTATTTCCTATGCAAACGGTCTATTTGCAGATCATCTCAGGAGGACAATATAAAACAGTCATTAATTTTTTTTCCTAACTACTAAACACTGCATGCATCTGCTCTAATCTGTTACATTTCCTTTACCTTTTCACCCTTTTCTCCATAAAAACCAAGTCCTCTGTTGCCCTGAAAGACAAAAAAGTTTCTGTAAGCTTTTAAAAGTCAATAATCATAGTAAAATAGGTTTTTATTTTTTAAAAAGACACCTAAAATTTATTTGCAACATAACCGGACAACTCTCCTTGCATAACATCCTGGCTTTACCTCCCAGAAACTAATCACAAAAAGACAGTTAATCAAACAGATAGAAACAGATTCATAGATGCAGAGATCAAACGGATGGTTGCCAGAGAGGAGGGGAACTGGGGAGATAGGGGAAAAAAGTAAAGGGATTAAGAAGTACAAATTGGCAGTTACAAAATAGTCACAGGATGTCAAGTGCAGCATGGGGATACAGTGTGTAATACTGTAGTAATTATGTAGGGTGTTAGAAGGTACTAGATTTATTGGGGGGAAATCACTTCATAAATCATATAAATGTCTACCCACTATGCCGTACACCTGAAACGCAAAACAATATTGAATGTAAACTGTGATTGAAAAAAAAAGCTAAAAATAGAAAGTTACCATCTTTTGTTTGGCTATTTCCATATGTAAACGTGTAACAAAAGTCTGAGCCAGGATATCACACAATACGAACAGGAGCAAACCGAGATGATGTATCAGCTGCAGAAGGTGGCGCTTCATAGTGTATTCTGAGCATTCACTAAGATGTAACCTAAGTGGTGGAACTCTGGGCTTCATAAAAACGATACGCTATTCGTTTAATATGGATAGGCTTTTAAGACATGTTTTATTTTATACTCTAAGCAAAACCTCAGAAATAGTGGACTAAGAGCAGCTATTTTGTTGCTTTTGGGAGTAGTTTACTATTTGCCTTTTGAAATGTATTCTACTCTACAAACATCCTGATGGTCAGCAAACCGCCCCTATCATTGACTCTACACTGGCTGTCTGGACTAGAACCATCCAGGGTCCGTATGCTACACGCTCCACTCTCCCTTCAGTCCTCTGCACCACAGTGTGATCTGCGTGTCACAGCTGGTCAAATGGTCATTTCCTTAGACCAAGGCCTCAGAGCTAATGAGTGGCAGCACTTGGTTTGATCCCAGGTCTTTTTGACTCTTAATCGTTCCTGTAGCATCTCTATAGGTTAGTGACTTGGAGTGTTTGCTGGACCCTTCAGATTTAGAAAGTAGCCAACCCACCCTCCCAAGGTGGGTCCCCGATTTGCAGATCATGATTCATTCTCTCTTCTGCCTCAGCTATTTCTCGTTTTTGGTAAGATAATCCTAATTTCACATAAACACTTCCTGTCCTCTAATGGTTTTAGGGGAATGGTGATTCTTGGGGTTTCATACAACGTCTTCATCTTCCTTTTTTGCCCAAGAGGCGGAGGAGCTAGGCCAAGTGCCTTAGCAAGAATTTCATAGTTTCAGGAGTGCAGTTGCCATGTGTGGGAGAACTGACTGGACTTTGGTGTCTAGAAGAGGCACAGATGAAAAACTACACAGGTAGACCTGGGCGATACTGCAGGTTCAGTTCCAGACCACCTCTATAAAGTAAGTATCTCAATGCAGCAAATCACATCATTGTTTTCGTTTCACTGTGCATGGAAAAGTTATGTTTATACTCCACTGTAGTCCATTAGGTGTGCAACAACACTGTCTAAAATAACTGTGTATATATCATAATTAAAAAATACTTTACAGCTAAATAAATGCTAAGCAGCACCTGAGCCTGCTGGAAAAATGGTGCCAACAGACTTGCTTCACTCAAGGTTTCCACAAACCTTCGATTTGTAAAAAACCACAATATCTTTGAAGTGCAGTAAAGCGAGGTATGCCTTGTACTACATTATAGAAGTAATACTTTTTTCTGACCCCCAAACAATTGCTTATTTTTTTGGGTATCTATCTACATTCCCATCTTGATGAAAGATCATGTAGGACCTTATCCAATCGCTCTCTGCAGCACACCTCCCGCCCCCTCAATGCCTCTGAAAATAAAAACAAAGCATTTAATTAATTTCTGCATTTTTGCTTCTTTCCCACCTGGCTGGGAGCTGAAATCAAAGCGTAGAAATGCAGCCAGGCTAGATCAGAATGAGATCTTCCTGGGCCCCCATGGTCCCTTAGCCTCATGAGCTGGTTGTCCAAGTCATCAGGAAGTGACTTGGTGGGGAGTGAGGGCCTTTTGTGTTGCAGCCAAGTGGGGATCTGAGGTGACCTTGGGGCCAGCCACCCCATCCTACATCTGCTTCTCTTGGCTGCTTCTCTTGGCTACAAGCCGTTCCCACCCTGCTTGGGGCTGCCAGACAGTGGGGAGCCCAGTGGTGGAGGCAGCAGCTTTAACGAGCTCCAGCCCTAGCCGGAAGCCCTGTCAGAGGTGATGGGACCTGCAGGCCTGGGGGTGGTGGCAGCTGAGGTCTCCAGGAGGTCACAGAGATGGGATTTCTGTGGCGCAGGCATGGGAATGTGCAGGCTGGGAGATGGTTCTTAAATGGTCCTTAGCCACATGCAGGCCATGGAATGGTCCTTAAATGTTGGTAATGGTGGCCCGCTAGTTGACTCACATCAATTAAAAAAAATTTTTTTTTTAAATTACAGCTTACATTCAATATTGTTTTGCACTAGGTGTACACTGTAGGCTCACGTCAAGTTTTGATCAAATACTTCCCTCACTAACCTCCTACTGTTTGTATTGGACATTCACCTAACTTTCACAAACTGCACTGAACTCTGGCTCTGTCTCCAAGTTCTAAAAAGCCACCTTCTTTGTTGTGTTCCAATGAACTTAATACTTGTTCTCTGGTACAAGCAGGACAGCTTTGGGCTCTAACCAAAGTTGAAAATTATTGATTATATATATCCCTAGAGGCTGATATGACAGTCTTGTAGAACTAATTACATGCAGGTAGGAAAGCCACTGGTTCCCCCGACACACATGGCTACATTTTGCCCGTTCTCGGAAATTTACACATACAGATAAAAACGAGCTGTCCCTAAATCTTGATTCCTAATCAGATAGTTGCCAATTTGCTTCTCATACAACAGGACTGTTATGTGATTTGCAAACAAATCATTCAACACATGCACTGATTTAATGTGCCAGCTACTCCAGAGGTACAGCTGGATTTATCTTTGGAGTTTATAACATTAAGTCTTACAAACCTACAAAATGGTTCTCATCATGAAATAAGCAATCTGTAGTTGCCCATTAAATAGTTGTATGGTCTAGAAAGATACACACAGATACGTAAGTCCCCCCTTCCCTCTCCCTCACCCCAACAATCAACTTACTTGCTGTCCTTTTGGTCCAGGGGGTCCGGGTGGTCCCTGCACAAATACAAAGACATTTGTAAATTGTTTATTTATCCCAGGACCCAGATAACATCTGTTAGAAGGTCTGGGAAAGCCATTCACTGTATATTTAGAACATCGTGTTGTATGTATGGTTTCTAATACATCTGTCTCAGCAGGCAGGAACGGCTGGGGGGAGAGGGCTGGGGTCAGGCCCAGTTCCCACAACTGGCTGGCTGTCCACACACAGCTGTTTTGGGTTAGCTTTCCTGAGTTTGGACTTTTGACTTCACCCATGTCTCAGCTCTGCTCCCTCTCCAAGGCCCCAGGCTCTGCTACTGCCGAGACCGTTTCTCTGGACTCCCTCTGGAGTTGCCTGCTGGCCACTGTCTAGCACTTTCTGTTGGTCAGCTAATGTTCACAGGCAGAATTAATCTACAGGCCCATACTGGGAAGTCCACCCACAAACATCACCATGTGTCTATCTGCAAACAATTCAGTGTCAACACCCCACTTACGATGAAGTTTCAAAAGTGCATGAAAAGAGTCATTTGTGTCCAAGTACACAGAAGTGGACAGGCAGGGGACTGTGGGTGATTTCAATGACCATAGAAAGAACTTAAAGTTTTCACATCAGCCAAGGACCCAGCGGGTACAATCTGTTGTTTCATATTTCCCTGAACTGTGTATTTAAAGTATAACCCCCGCTCCCAACCATGTGACAAGTTTGCTTTGAGTCAACATCCATATGCAACAGGAGAGAAAAGAACCTCTCATCATATAACCCCTGTTCCATCCCATTTGGCCAAATCTTTCATCGCAGTGGGCTACTTGTAAAAATGACTTTTACAACAAACACTGGGGAAACTTGATTTGTAAAACCCAAATCAATTAAATCAATGATTATTCTATAGTCTGAAGAAAATTATGAACACTCCTTCCAAGCCCACGTGTCTCCACTGTTTCTCAATATCTGCCAAGAACCCGATACCACAACCTCCCCTGAGAGGGCCCTTCAGTCTTGAGCAATGGTTTTTTGTGAGAAGGTCTCTCTCACCTGCAGCCAAAGTCTCTCCGCCTTAAATTTAAGGTTTATTTGTCTTACTACTGAAAAATGTGTGGAATGAGAGTCAAAAACCTTCCTGAACTCACCAGTTTATCTCCTGGGTCCCTTATGCAGTGGTGGGAGAGGCCTGAGGGCTGCTCTGCCTTCTCCTCCTCCCCGCTCCTAGCACCAAGCCCTCCTTCATCCAAGTACTTGTCTTGTTGCGCCTTACTCTTACCATTTGAATTGCGGGTTGAGAAAACACCTGTAGACTCCCATCCAGGTGGGGCACCAGGGCCATTTTATTAATCAATGTCCAATATTTCACTTGTTATAATGGCCATGGGCACATCAATGCACCTGCAGTGATGGATATACCCAGGTGTAGTATAATTTTGCTATAATGGCTATGCCCAGGTGTGATATACCTGTTATGACGGCCATGCCCAGGTGTGATACACCCGCCATAACAATCATGCCCAGGTATGACACACCAGCGATGGTGGCCAAGTCTAGGCAGAGCCCACTTCCTTCTTAGCACCTGGTCGGACTTTGGTTTGCTTTGCTCAGGGGTGACAGCCCCCGGTCAGCTGGCTGGGTGTGGGGCAGAGAGACCTTGGGCACCCATGACTGGAATAGCACCCAGCCAGTAGCAAGTTTAAATTTGACATAGTTGGCAGTGATCTGGTGACCACAGATTTGGGTCCTCATTCTTTAAACTTAATAGCAGCAAAACATAGGCAAGGGGTGACCTGTTTTGTTTTGGTTTTGTAGTGACCACAAGCATTATAGCTGTACCGTGGAACTTTCACCCGTATCAACAGTTGAAGGAGCTGCATCGCTAGAGGATGCCTTGGCAATGGTCCAAGAGTGAGCACATACGCGTGGTACTTACCGGTCTTCCCGGAACTCCAACTGGACCCATTGGTCCCATGGGTCCGGGGCGGCCGGGAGGCCCCTAAGGTCAGGCAACGAAAAAAGGCCATTAAGAGAGGTTGTCTGGTGTTTGGAGTCCTGAATTAATAAGTTTTCTAGGAACATTCTCTGGTAAAAATAAAACTTACCGGGAAGCCAATCAATCCAGGTTCTCCAGGTTCACCCTATTGAGAAGAAACAAATTTCAGAGTTCTAGTTTTTAAGCTGATCTTCAGACTTAGTTACATTTTATTACGACACTGTAAACAAGTATACGTGTTATACCGGGCCTAACAGGATTTGGTAATGTTAATTAACCTAATATCTAAGGTATTTTGCATATGGGAGAGGTTGTACCACATAGGATGGAAAAACATCCTGAAAAGAATTAAAGTGATTTTTTAAATTAGGCGTGATTTTGGATTATTCCATTATTCCGTCTGTGCACGCCTCTACTCCATCCATTCTTACAACTCAGAGTTTACTTGGAAATCAATTTTATTAGTCAATAATTTACACTGGATCGCTCAGTCAGGTCTCCCACCTCCGGCCAACTTACCCTGTATTTGTCGCGGTCCTCTTTAGACAACGCGTAAGGTTCACCTTTCTGCCCTTTGGGTCCTTGGGGCCCCTAAAGTAATACGTATGTGGTAGAAGGAGGAAAAATGTCCGTTAACATTTAGAGCAGCTACAGTCCTTTGGATGATTAGATACTGACTTTCATGGGCAATATCTAACTACTCCTATGGCTTATTTAGTTTATTCTACAGATCCAAGCACTACATTCATTCAACCACAGAGGTAAGACTTTTACTTTCATGTTTATCCAACAGTATCTTTCTTTAAAGTTACAATGGAAATACTTTATAGATTTAAATTATTTTCAAAACCCCAAATGAATGCTCAGTAAACCAATCCTTTAGTATGCCAACATGTTATTCTTCTGTGTAGTATTATTTTGTGTTTTCTTTGGCATTAGTGTACTGAAAATATTAACGTGTCCTCTGAGGCACCATTTGTGGGAGAGATATTGAGTCGTTCTTTAAAACTAAGATCGTGTCAAATGTACATGATATGTGCATACTACATATGTACATGTTTACATGTCTTACTATCTACATATAAAATCAATATTTTAAAGTAACAAATACATATGTTGCTGACAAAAGTTATTTTATTAGACTAGAAAATGATGCAGTTTATTAAAAGCTGAACCATGTAAGAAAGAGTCAGAGAAGCAGGAATCGGAAGAGCTGCAGGTGTGACCAGAAACCGAGCAGCTTCAGGGGAACAGGTGAGGCGAGTGCACAACGCTAGTCCCAGCCTTAAACAAGTTTTACCAACTAAAACGTTAGTCTCATCCTGAATTTGCAGTGTTTTGGTAGTAAGAGGGTAGCAATATGCTACCTCACAGTACTTCCATACTCTTTGCAAAGACACTGAAAGCTAAATGAGGCCACGCAATAGATCAATATATGAAAGTTCTCACTTAAAAAAGGAAAAAGCCCTGTATTGTATCTGCTGAAGCGCATCACCCTTCTTTCATGTCACAATGGATTTCAGAATCCAATAAAGATGGTGACTACTACTTTTGTCAAGCTTTAAGCTTTTCAAAAATTTTAGTTTTAAGAGTAAAACTTTAGAGTAAAATTTAAGAGTAAAATTTTAGTTTTACTCTTAGCCTCTGATTCACGGTTCCTTGAATTACAGCCTGGGAGGAAGTGAGGTGACACTCGGAAGGAGGCAGGAGTGAACACTATCAACCAACCAATGATCTTCTAAGTAACGTGTAACAGTGAGTACAGAAAAGAAAGTTATTTGAATTCAGGGAAATCATGCCTAGATGTCTGCAAGAAAATCTCAGCAGGGACGTGTACTTCATCCTGACCAATAAAATGAGAGCAATTTCCCCTCAGTATAAGAGGCAGGCGTAGCACGTGCCTGCAGCCCCTGCAGGTGAGTGACATGAAGGCAACACACCATCCTTAGAAAGTTTCTCTAAGACAATGTCTTCGGGGTCCTGTGCTGGGCCTTCCGGGACCATGAAGGAGGGCCCAGGATGCGGCCTCTTCCACACACTTTCGCCAACAAGTGCAGCCACCCAGGTTCAGAGCCAACCTGGTGGACTGCGCGTGCCATGCTGAAGATACTCACGGCAGGTCCAGGGAAGCCCTCGGAGCCGGGGTGTCCCTGCTGGCCCACGTCTCCCCTGGTCCCGTTGCAGCCATCGTAGCCAGGTGGTCCTCTGGGCCCACCTTGCCCAGGGTGTCCCTGGGAACAAGAAATGGCAGTAAGTCATCCAGCCCATACGTGTTTAGTTTTCATACAACTATGTGATAAAACGGTATCAAATCTTCTCACCAGAGATGCCCCAGGCATGAATCCAAGGGGGAGAGACAGCTCAAAATGAATGAAAGATTAAGTACGCAAGGCACAGAAGTGGAATTCCAAGCAGGGAAAGGCCTTTGAGACAAAGTCCTGTTTCTCGAGGGTTTTGGTGGGCAGCGAACTGTCTCAGCATGTTTATTACCTTGCTTCATCGGGCAACTGCGAGGCCTGTTTTGGCAAGGGCAGGGGAGGCGTGGATTTAAAAACCCTAGGAAAAGGTTCTAGAAGCAGCAATCTTCTTCTCGGGGACAACAAAGATGCCTTTATCTGTAGTGGCCAACTGGCTCTGGGTAGTCTCACAGACCCACACCCTAAACAAGTAAGAGAGTCAATGGCTCAGGCATAGCTGGAAGAACTGAACCGATTTCCTGTTTATGTTCTGTGGGAACACTCCTTCTTAGACTTTAAACACGAACAGAAAGCAAGTCAGGTGTTCTAAGATGTGTGCTGAGAGAGGGGAGGCAACATGATCGAATAAATTTTGAATACTAGAGAGGGCCAGGTGAGGTCTGGGGGCACCTCGGTTCTATTCATCTGGTTCCAGGAGACGTTCTGAGGGCAGGGTTAACAGTCTATAATTTATGCATTATGAGACCACAGCCTGTTTTGTTATGTTTACACAAAAGATGCTTTCTCATTATGTAATTCTTTAAATTTTTCATTTCCTTGATAAAAGGCCAAACATGTATCTCAGACTGATTTTTGAGGCCACAAGGATGTCTTTTACATTTACTTTGAGAAGTCTGTGAAATTTCAAGACAAAGGAACATGTTCTACATAGAGTGCCCATACTCTAAATTCTACTACAAAATATAATAAGTAGAATTTTTCTTTTGTTTGCACATCATTGTGTTTGAGATGTTCAAAGCCATTGCTGCAACGGGTGCCGCCAGATGAGAGGCCCGGCAGGCCTTTCAGTCAGCCCTCTGGGGGTCAGCGAAACCCTGGTGGCTTCTGGAAACCATGCTGCCCAGCCACTGTCCCAGAGCCAGCTGCCTGGTGGTCTTCACAGCAACGGTCTCTTTTGGGAGGGTTTCTGAAAGCTAATCCCTCAAATCCAGCTTGAGGAAACAAGCTTGGGAGATGTTCTGTTCAAGGTGTGTGGTATTCTAGGATGTCGTTGCTTAAAAGGCGCCACTGAGTTCCTTATTCTTCTCCTGAATTATCTGTCTGCTGTTGGCCTTTCTGATTTCCTTAGAATTGATTTAAGTCACCTTGAATTTGCATATCGATTCTTTTGAAATTGTGCTTCAAAGAAATATTTCAGTTATATTGAGCTAAATGTCCATCTCTTTTTTGTTCATCTGATTGGATACATTTCTGTATGAGACAATTCTAAGATTTTACTGCATATCACTTTTTATATATGACTTGTAAACAGCTAAAATTAGCCAGGTCCTTCAAGTGCTACACTTGTTAACAGCTTAGAAATGTCAGGTGACATTTAAGTTGATATACAGTATCAGAGTTCTGTGGTTAAAGTGACTATATTTAGCAGCACCAAGATTCTATAAAAAATGATCAGCTATCTGCTTGCTCATCATGATCACTCCCCCAAATGATCACTCTCTTCCTTATTTGTGAAATATTTGCTTCTGATATTAAATGAGTATGAGGTGGGAAAATGAATTAAAATATGACACAGAGTAGTTACAATATTTTTCCATAATGTCACTTCCAGAAGACAAAAACTGATGAACAGTTCAGAGTTCAAGAAAGTAGTTAAAAAAATAAGTGATTTAGTTTGAGGCAGTTGGTAGAAAACTTTCACTATTTGTCTGATTCTTGAAATCTCCAGATTCTGACTCATGTGAATGTTACTTCCTTATCCGTTCAGAGCTGATGTTATCTGTCTGAATGCCTCATCCAGGCGGCACTTAGGATCAGTGGCCACGCAGGTCTCCTGTCTCAGTCACTGTGACTTCCTTTCTTTAGCTCTGACTGCTTCCTTCTACTGTAGCCAAAGCCTTCTTGAACACAGAGCTGAAAATCAGAAGAAAAAGCAACTCTCTGTGATGACTCTGCACTCATGCTCTTCCTCTATATTCTTCTGCGAGGGGGTAGCCCTGCTAGTGTGGCTGGGGGGATGTGTGCATGTGTGTGCATACATGTGTGTGCACGTGCCGTTGCATAGGTGAGTGTGCACATGGTGAGAGAGAATACGGATCCGGATCCCTAGGGCACGGGCACCAACACTGTGTGTGTGAGGGTCTCAGAGCAGATGCCCCTAAACTTCAGCAGCAGACAGACGGGGTGGATATGAGTGGGTGATGGACACATTTGCCCCTGAGAAGGGGATCTGCAGGAAGCTGGCCCTGGGAAATCTGTTGGGGATTCCTGCAAAGAAGGCTGTGACTCAGGCTGCTTTGTTTGTTTTTTTATGCCACAAGAAGTAAACTAAACTAGGTTAGAAAAACACACTTTATTGCATTTTGAGATTTTCTCATGGATAATCCATGCCTCTTTTCGTTTATGTGTGGTTACTACAAAGAATTTGAGAAGCTACACAAATGTTCAGCGGGGCTTCATTCCATCCACGTTCTTGGCTGTGCTACTTTATATTCAGGTTGTTCGGTGGTTCGAACAAAATTTCAAGACTGGCTCTTTATTGAGCATACCTTAGCAAGGCACTAACTTTTTATTACAAAACAATTTTCCACTTCTAGCAAAGTATCCTCAATTCCGAAGCCAAGTCTAGGAAAACAATTTCTCCAACATTTGACTGGATTCCAGGGGAAAGAGACGCACATATAGTCCCACAAGTTTTATGTTACAAACAAAAAAGGAGGTTCAGCTCAAGATGTTTCTGTAAAGTCATAAATGTATTGGTTCACATGCGTACAGTGTTTTAAAATTCTAATCTTACAAAAACTTACAGGAATTCCGTCAGCACCAGGGAATCCAGAAACGCCTCTTGCTCCCTATAAAAAAGGCAAACAAACTTAATGAAGGTCAGCACACCCGCTGCCCTCTATAAAACGAGAGGAAATACCGTGTTTTCCATACCACGTCGCCTTTCGGCCCTGTGATCCCGGGGGCGCCTCTTTCACCCTTGTCACCTTTGCGGCCCTGCAGTCCTGGGAATCCTTGCAGCCCTGGGGGCCCCGTGTAGCCCTGGGGGCCCACTGGCCCTGGCTGACCCTGTAGAAACAACACACGTTCAATGTTTACAATTAATAGCAGTGAACGAGCACCTCAGTCATGCTGCTTTGGAAACCACATTTTTACTCTCCAAGAGCTATAATCTTCAGAGAACATTATATGTAACTACCACCTTCTGCACCATAACCACAAAGTGACTTTGTGGTTGGTCACTTTGTGGAGAATGGTACAGTTGTCCCATTCTCCCTGCTTCACTCCCCTCCACCCTGCACACCCTCTCCCACCCATATTCCCTTGCTTTAGTTCATGTCCATGTGTCATACTTATAAGTTCTTGGCTTCTACATTTCCCCTACTATTCTTACCCTCCTCTTGTCTATTTTCTACCTACCACCTATGCTACTTATTCTCTGTACCTATTCCCCCTTCTCCTCCTCCCACTCCTCTGTTGCTAACCCTCCATGAGATCTTCATTTCTATGGTTCTGCTCCTGATCTAGCTATCCTCTTAGTTTGCTTTTGTTTTAGGTGTGGTTGTTAATAATTGTGAGTTTGCTGTCATTTTACTGTACGTGTTTTTTATCTTCTTTTTCTTAGATAAGTCCCTTTAACATTTCATATAATAAGGGCTTGGTGATGATGAACTCCTTTAACTTGACCTTATCTGAGAAGCACTTTATCTACTTGTTTTCTTAAATGTTCTTTTATTAAATAAAAAAAAAGTTTCAAACAAATTTCAAAGATTTAAAAAATCTCTACCTTAACATAATGCATACAATAGTTATCGATGATACTCAAAAGAACCAAAAGCAGAGACTTAAACAGATTATTTCTGTATCCATGTTCACAGCAGCATTTTCACAATAGCTAAAAGGTGGGAGCAAAGTGTCCATTGACGGATAAATGAAAAAACAAAATGTGGGCCATCCATGCAATGAGACATTATTCACCGTAAAAAGGAAATTCTGACATATGTCACAACGTGAATGAAGGACATTACATGAAGTGAGGTAAGCCAGTGAGAAAAGGACAAGCACTGTGTGATTCCTCTTCCATGAGGTTCCTGGAGAGGTCACACTCAGAGGCAGGAAGGGGAGGAGGACTGTGGTCAAAGGCACATAGCCCTGCCCTTGGACTCTTGATACCCCAGGCTCATTCTGCTTGAATTCTAGTCAGGAGTCTCAGTGTGCCACATTTGTTACAAATTTGGGGACAAATTATGCTTTGATTCTGACTTTTATAACTTTCCCAGTTGTGCTCCTTTTTGTTCTGTTTGTCTGAGAATATAGCCGTCTCGTGATTGGACACCAAGGCCCCAAGCGCTGCGTTCCTGATCGTGATGAGACTTGTCAGTGTTCACAGGGAGCATCCTTTGGGGGATACAATGTTCCTCATTAGTACTGTCGTTTTTTCTGCCCATAAACTAAATCTCTCTCTAGAGGATTAGTGAATGAAGCCAACTAAGGGGAACATCCACTACTCATCAAAACGAAATCTGTGTGTCTGAATGATGACAAAGCCACATTCTTGTCTTGGACTCATGAACCTTTTTCTTCGACTCTCTTTCATGGGCAACGTGACTGACGCCATCACGGAGTCCCTTTCCTTCCACTGTCAGGGAAGTTCTTTTTAAGCATAAAGTCTCGGCTGGGAAGTCTGACTTTGGGAATATAACCCCAGTCTTTCCTTTTCTGGAGCAAGTTGTTACTTTTTTCTTTTAATTGAGGTGAAATTCCCGTCACATAAAACCAGCCATTTTTAAAGCGGCTTCCAGTACATTCGCAATGTCCTCTCTCTAGTTCCAAAACATCTCATCATCTCCAGAGGAAACCTCATACCCACTGAGCAGTCACTCCTCCCCCACCCCCCCGCCCCCAGTCTGCTAACCGCCATCCGCTTGGGGATTTCTCCCTTCTTGGTATTTCGTATCAATGAAATTTATGTATGACATGTAACCCTTTTTTGTCTGGCTTCTTTCACTTAAGAGAGTTTGTTTTGAAGTCCATCCATGTATTGTGTGATCAAGTCTCCGCACTTCATCCACTGTCAGGGCTGAGTGACCTCCCAGTGGATGGTGAGACCGTGGTCTGTCTGTCTGTCTGTCTGTGAAGGTGCATGCGCGCGTCCCTGCTGAAGTCTTTGTTTTCATTTCGTTTGGGTTCACCCCTAGAAGTGGAGTCACTGAATCCTACGGCAATTCCACGTTCATCTTTCTGAGAGAACGCCACACTGCTTCTCCTCATTCTGCATCCCCGCCAACATTGCGTGAGGGTGCCAAATTTTTCTACATCCCTGCCAACAATTGTTATTTTCCATTAAAAAATTATAGCCATTCTGGCGGGTGTGAAGTTGGTGTCACTCTAAAGAGTCATCTTGAGCTTCTGACAGATGGAACATTTCCCCAAATTCCACCCAGCTTCCGTCCTGGGGAAGGAAGCACCAGGAGGAGCCTGGACAGAATCTGAATCAGAGTCTGCTGCTCTGGGGCTGAACTGTGACTCCTGCCCGCAGTTCAGACCCGTGTGGCTGAGACGAAATGAAGGTTGTTGTCCCAGCGCAACGACCTTCGTATGCGCGTTTCAGTCGTCAGGGCCTGAGGCTTCTCCCCGGATGTCCGGCCCATGCTGGCATCTCGCGCCTCTGCTCGGAAGGAGCAGCTGGGACGATCAGGTAAATGAAAAGGGTTTCCCTCTGCGCTAATTAATCATCACCATCGTCATCAACTTCCATCTTTTGGAAGTCCCACTTGGAAACGTTATTTCCATCTCTTCCTTTCCTTTTGTAATACGTGATGCTAAAAATAAAAATTACCCTGGAAAAATAGGACTCTAAATGTTTTTACATAAATCTCAAAAGCTGCTAGATTACTAACGCTCCTAAAATTCCTGCAATATACTCAATAAAATAATTTCTACAAAATAGTTCTTAAGAGCCAACAGACCATGTCCTCTGCCTTGTCCACACCAGAGACTTGGATTGACATTCATGTACTACTTCCTAGGAAACAGGATCAAAAAGCAGCACTTAATTGTGTATCCTCTGCCATGAAGCACTGTTACATGTCTCAAGAAATCACCTATCTTATTTTCTTAATTTTATAACCATGACACATGCATAAAGCGGGCACCTCTCCCATTTGTGAGAGGGGACAATGGGGGCTCGGAAGGCTTGGAGGAAAGAACAGACTGTTAATGCCGTTAGGCCTGGGGAGGGGGCTGCCTCGGAAGCCTTCCATCTTCCACGTAACTTCCTGCTCAGGTGAGGTCTGTGAGCGTGAGTAACACAGAGCCTCAGGCCCGGCCCGGCCCCCCTGACCTGCACTGGACGTGATCCTCAGGGGATTTCTTAGTGCAGTGACATTTGAGCATCACTGCACAACCCCGCCCTCCTTCCCTTTCTGACGTTCCTATGAGAGGTCGCAGGTATCTTTTAACAAGAAAAATCTCTTACGCACAAAGTTGGATATCGGAAGAAAGTCTGGACTCACGGAATCAGAGGAAAATCTAATATTTATGTTTGTTAAATGCTATTTCTAATGAATTTTTCCTGGGCCTTATGCTCCAGTGATATCTGCAGCAAGACTGAATCCCCTTTGTCACTGTCAGAGTGGATGGTTGCACAATGCCTCTTCCCTTTTGAAATCACTTCGGCAGTGTCTGTGGGATATCTGGGGCCAGTTTTGGAAGCTGAAGTCTGAAAAAGTGGATAGAATGAGTCCAGACTTGACTACACATTGCTTAAATACCACGATTGTAGAGAGAATGCACTTAAAGTCCTGTGACACTTACTAAGCTTTCATGAATTTGGAGTTTCCACTTTTGTAAAAGGGGCAGCCAGGGTGTGTGCATGTGCAGAATAACTCTGGAACGTCAGAGTTAGAAGGTAGAAGATCAGTGATTACGCAGGGCCCCAAGCAATTTCACATCTGTGCAACTCCAAGGTGGCACCTGTTTCCATTCACAGTTTAGAAACCTTAAAACTTGCCTTGGGTAAGGAAGTAAGAAGAGCTTTATGTACCAGGAAGAATAAAGAGAGATGTTTCCAAGGATAAAATACTTCATTGCATATCAGGATTTTTAATCTACAGTACAGTATTTTCCTGGTAGAATAAGAATAAGCTTTTCATGAGTTACTGGCCAACATCTGAATACTAGGAAATCCCTTCTCCTTCCTGAGTTTACTCTTCCTGTCTTGAGAGGCTTTTGTGGGCACCGGGCGCCCCACCAGACACCCCATATCCTCTGTAATCTCCCCGGGGGCCCCTCCCTTCCTCGGCTGTTGACGACATGTCCTAGGCCTTCCTGGCCTTCGGATGCTGCAGCTCCTGGTGACTCTCAGGGAATTCCAGCCCAATTCCCAGCTTATCCTGAGAGTTGTTCACATACATTTGAAAATACGTAAAATGGCCCCAAAGGCAGGAAGGGCTACTTTTTTTTAGGATTCAGGAAGACAACTCCTTCATCTGAAATTTAGAACTAGTCATGGTTTCTAGGGATAATCATTAGCATTCGTGAGCAATTTTTTGATCCCCCTGGTAGGATAAATTAATACCATGCTCCAAGCTAATTTGTAAAGGTCGTATTTGAACAGTATATTACACATGTAATAAATGTCAGTAAATAATGGGTGACTGCCTATTCTGTGCAAATCAGACAGAGCCGATGTTAAATCTGCCATGTGCTACCTACAGCTTCTTATTTAATACGTAACAAAACACCAACCCTGTCCTGGGCGCTATTCCAAATTAAGGAATCCATTTTTATGAGGTAAATTATACGGGCTCTCGGAATTCTTGCTTTTTAAAATTACCATACACAGATTGTAGGACTAGTGAGTGTCTCTATAGAGGAAATGACATCCATATGCTCAGAAATGACTCTTGATCCTGCCTCTCTCCATTACAAACATTTAGTCAAAGTGGATCACAGACCTACATGTAAGAAATACCACTATAATACTTCTAAAGGAAAATATAGGGAAGAGTCTTTATGACTCTGGGTTGGCAAAGGCACAGAAATCAGAAAACACAAGAAGTCTGATA